TTTTTTTTGTTATTTTTGTGTTATTGACGCAAATGATTTCTACGCTTTCACTGCTAATATTATTATAAAATTAACAAAAAAAAGACAAAATTTAATTAAATGGAAAATTTTTATGTTTAAAAATTTTTAATTTTCATTATTTTGCAGCAATTCACAACACAAAGATGCGAAATTAATAATCATTTGCGAACTGGGCGCAAGTTTTTGCCTTCACTGTCACTAGCGATCACATACTGGGAGAAATTTTTGTCGTCTATACTAACTTGCTTGAATACTCTTCGGTTTTTACTAAGGCAACTTTTCTTAGGCTGAAAATTATTGATTAAAAAAATAATATATAAAAATTAAAATTTACATAAGAACGACTAAAATTTTGCTTTCAATAAACAATAAAAAATTGATTTTTAGTTCATGTCTTCAGGGTAAACAGTTAGTTATATTATTACTTATAAAACATCAATTAAAAAAAAGTAAGCGCAGGAAATCTAAGTTAAAATCAATTCATTTTTAAAGCTAAATTTTACTTCAAATTGAGCAGTGCATAGTTAAATTTTAAAGTAGTCGAAAAAAAATTACCGCAGGCAAATTTTTTAATCTAGCTTTTTCACGTGCTGCAATTTTTCTTACATCGCTATTCATTGCAACTGATGGAACTTGAACAGATGCAGCTAATGCTTTCTGAATCCAAAGTTTTGCTTCTACACTTTCCGGACGTTCAACAACAATTGTTACGAAGTGTTGAGTTTGAAGACTTTTTATAAGCAATTCACGGCATACATCTTTGTCCGTAACTGGTTTTCCATCAATATCAAGTAAATGGTCACCTACTAGCAAACATTGCGCTGATAAAGAATTACGATCACATCGAGAAACAAGTACTCGATTCTGATAATGCTTAACACCCAGGCCAAGTTTTAATCCATTTGGAATCCAATTTATCCGTGCTAGCTAAAATTTTCACGTAGTTTTTTAAAAATTGGATAAATTGGTTTTTAACACGTATAATCATAACTATTTTTTTGAAAAAAATTCAATTTGATTTACGTTATTATATGTTCTTAATGAAAAAAGTATTACAAAATAACTGAAACCATCTCGGCGTGCAACCAATTTCATCCTATCACGTGGTATTAAGCACTGTGTTTCTATTTCAGCAGCTTTTTTTTTATCTCTCACGACCAAAAGTGATGCTACTGGTGGTGCATATCGTAATAATTGAAAGAAATGAGTACAATTTTGGACTATAGAACCATTTACCTTAAGCACCTGATCACCTACCTGAAACCAATATGTTATACAAACCTCGAATATGAAATATATAATATGTATATTCTATAGAGTAATTGTGTAATTTGTAATTACATGCAGTTAAACAAATCCATTCATCATGTAGAAAAAAGAATAGATCTTGAGTTACGTACTTTAAGTTTGCCTTCTGCCAAAGTTCCACTTTGAATTTTAGTGATTATAAGTTTATCATTCGGTATAGCACCAAGTGGTTCACCTTCCTCCATAGGTATTGAAACCACAAACTCTCTCGCCATAAGCAATCACACAACCGATTCTACTAATAAATGACTACAAATATGTGAAAAAAGCAAGTTACCACTTTATTAATATTATACTTATTTAAGAAGCAGTCAGTCACTAATAAAATTGAATATCAAATAAAGTGTACAGAAAAATAATGCAAATACTTCATACCGGATAATCTTCCTCAAAATGACAGATTTCAAATCAACTAAATATTTTTCATTTTATGAGAAAACTTTTTCACCAGTTTAACTCAACAGCTAGAAGTGGCCCGTATCTATCTATCTATTTACCTATATATACCTATACATCTATCTATTTATATATGTATCTATTTATGTACCTGCTACTCCTCTGTACAGTGCTGTGAGACTCACATCCCAGCTCATCTCTTGCAGGTACAATCTCCCTAAACATACATGTTAATTATATAATCTGTATTTATTTAGTAACTATCTGATACCTTGGTGTACAGCCTAAAAGTCTCCTGATTCCAGCTTAAGCACTCCAGTATAATAATTTATATTATGGTGGCTTCTGCCTTGATAAAGTCCTTAGCATTCAGCGCAGTTTTGATTAATTGCTCCTTTCTCGCCAGTCTCCTCTACTCATACTTACTATAGCTTTTTCAGGTCAGCGCACAGTGTTGTCTTCCATCATTCCAATGATTTATCTTCTTGAGTTCCTACAAAAGTACTGCTTATCAGTGCATATCTCGGTACTAGTGGTTTATTTTTCTGGATACCCCGCCTCTTCGAAGAACCTCTCACTTCTTCGGCAATAAGTTTCATATATCCTCATCAGCTGTAAGGAGCTAGAAATCAGTGATAAATGATTCGTTATGCGCATTTCGGTGAGAACCACCCTTTGAAGTACTCATAATAAAACGCACGTTACGCGAAAATACATAACACTAACAGTACCGGGAAAAGGTTGTAACCTCAGAGAATTCCCAGCTCTATTTTCTTCTCCATTACAGTTTCTCCAATCAAGAGGTGGTCAGAAAATTGCCGATCCACGCTGCTATGTTGAGTGTTTCAGTGCACTGAATCAGATACTTGTGATTAAGTGAATAAACGCTTTTTAGCATTTTACACCACTATAACGTAGATAATTCCCACACTCTCTGCATACTACCAAGTTCAAGAGTGCCTCCTCTTTGGTACCTTAAACCTAAGAAACAGTTCCTAATTGGTTATCTGCAATTAGTCCTCTCGTGGCAACATTCAACTGCATGAGCATGACACGTGCCATTCATTTAGCCGCCAACTTGTAACGGTTTAGCATACAGGTTATTGCCTAAAGTTACTACCTTTGTTAGGGATACTTTTTAGAATCAAGTACGCAGTCCCTTTGTAGAACTACGAGTCTTCTTCCTAAAACTACGAGTTCCACGCAAATTTATCTTATTTTATACAGATTTGGAACAGGAAGTTACAGATATGTAATTGTCTTTTCAGATTCGGTTTCAGATGGTGTCCTGTACTCATATTCTGGAACGAATTATTTCTGATATTCGTTTCCCCCATCCAAATCATATTCCAAAACTCTGACTTCGACTGTCTCTACAGGAGAATGTTGAGAGAATGTCCCTCGGTCAGTTTTATATGGAACCGCCTTCTGAACAACGCATCTTAGATTTTGAATGCAAATCAGCAATTTGGTGACTACGAATTATGCCTCACGTGTTCCTAGAATATGCCTAGGCATATATCTCACTACTTTTCTTTTTGAAATAAATTACAGTATTCGTATTGTGAATAATCTGTTAATGTTAATATTTAACGGTTGGACGTATAATGAGAAAGCGTATATTTTCTGATTTAAGGTGGTAGGTAGATGGATCTAAATATGTTAATTCTATAAGTCTGTGCGTTTTAGAGAAGAATCTGTGCAGTGTTCAATGACTGGATCATGTTTGTTGTAATGTCGTGTTTTTCAAACATTTGTGCTTTTCAAAGTAGAGTTTATGCGTTTTACGTTAAAGTTAGAAGGTTAAATTTGTTTCATATATATATCGGAATTGATTTCATATAGGGCGAAATTAGATTCAGAATTTTATAATCTGAAGTATAGACTGTGCAGTTTTTTATGTAATGGAATTTTTGTTGCAGAAGTTGATTGAGATGTTACACAGATCAATAAATCGAGTATTTCGTCCAAAATTCTTTGTATTGTATTGCATTCGAAATCAGCCATTAACAGCAGGAGAGACAAAATTATACTCGAGCCCTACTTCAGTATTACCCGATGATTACAGTGTAACAGATGTTGGTGAAGCTGAACCACCACGATATCGTAAAAAAGTTATAAGCCGTGCATTAGAAGTATATTTAAACGATGTTAATAAGTATAATAAAGTTATGGCTCGAGAAAAAGCAGAATTTGAGCTCGGAAAACGTCATCTGGCCAATATGATGGGTTTAGATCCAAATAGTATCACTCAAGAAGATATTGACAAGTATGTATGTTAAGTACTTATTGAAATATTTATTGTATTTATTGCCGAATATTTTTTCATTTCTTCGTTAATTTTTGACTTTTACTAATTCATTGCTATAGGGCATATTTGTTTTAGTAGGTAAACTTAATATTGTTTATTTTAAAGTCATTAAAGTTCATTGAAATGTTGGGTTGGTCAAACATAATTTGAAAAGTTTTAGAGCTCTGGAATATTTGTTTCCTTCTGGTTTAACCGACCCAAAAGCATTGCCTGTGATGAAGCCTCCCGAAGAAATATTACCGAAAAAGCTGCAAATAGCATTTGATGATGAGGGACGACCTAAGGATTTACTTTTTTTCACAACTGCCCCTAAATTTTATCGTCTTTTATCTGTAAGTCTGCTTCGTTATATAGAATTAGTTTCTTAATTAAGTTAAAGAATTATACGCTGACTGCATATACTTCTGCAGTACCATTAGTTTTATTCAGGTTATTGGCACCAAAACAGAAGCACTGTTGTGCAACCAGTACAAACAGAAAGAAGTTACAGAAGTAGATTCATCTCCAAATGAAATGTACGGTTTATTTTTAGTCTTGAGCAGTGTGCATCAAAATGATTACTTTTTGTACATTTATTTATGTAATCTTTTTTCTTACTGATATGGAAAAAGTGAATTTTTGAACCACCACTTAATTTCAGGCATTTGTTAGGTACCGAATGGATCACTAAAGAAATGCTTTGTAAAAAATTGGAGGAAAAAATTTCTGACAAAATGGTTGATTTCATTGATAATGAAGCTTTTAATAGGCATTAATTCATAGTTTTGCACTTAACTCTTTATATTTCAAACTGTATGTGATGAAGTTTGAAAGTTGTCTAATATAATTAGAATTGAAGAGAACTGCAGTGCATAATGTTTTCATTACTTGCTAAATTCTTTGCACTGTAAATGCATCATGATTTTTAGTACGCACACTTTATTGTTGCACTGGATTACATGACTTCACTTACTGAATCATATAGAGAACGAGAATTCATTTTTGAGTACAGAAAATCAATGGCTTCTGAGTGTAAAGATATTATTTTTGGCACTCAAGTAAGTTTTAATGTTATTCAAAGATTTGTGAGACCTTTATTTATTTTTCATTTCTGGTGAAAGCTGCTGATGAACTCATTTATTCTAGAACTTCGTTTCAAAACAAACTATTCATCGCTTTACTTAATCTTCATGGATCATAACTTTTTCATTTAGGTTCCTCCAGTGGAATTAGTAGAAGGAACTGATCGTCGAATGGCGAAAGTTGAAGTTGAGTTGAAGGCATCTTTCGCTGAAGTAGAAGTCAAAGATAAGGGAAGTGGAATATATGAGGTAGATGGATATGGTCTTGATGTATTCCGGTCTTTACAAGCTAGGTAATAGAATTTCCAAAATTGTTAGCAAATTGAGATTCTTACAATATTATTCCAAGAAAAAGAAAGTATTGCTCTTTACACGTATGTCTTTATACAGGTTTTATTTAGGGAAGTATTTCTCGCGCCTCTTATAGTGACTAACTTGTTAGGAAAAGTGGATATCACAGGTAGGATTACTGATGGTCCTGGTGGTTCCTCCGTGATACCCAGAATCATACGGCATGGTGCTTCTTTGTGCATTGCTGCTCTTTTCCCTGAGCATTTTGAAAAATTGCGTCTTGGTAAAATGCATTGCTTTAATATTTATGACAAAATTTCTTACATTTCCGAAATAATTTTTTTGAAAGCTGGAACTTAGCGTAAAGATATATATGTATATATATAAATTTTATGTACGTGATTTACTTATTTATTTATATTTCGAAGAGGTTTGTAATTTACACGTATTTTCCGCATTAACATTACATCCAGCTAACTCGTTTTGTAGCTGGACTACTGACATCAGATCCGAGAAAGCGCGAACGAAAAAAGATAAATCAAAAGGGTGCTCGAGCTAAATGGATTTGGTATCTCTTTGTTTTGTAGCAAATTTCAAAAGTTAATTACGTTGAACAAATTGGTAGTTTGACTCAGATCAGTAATATTCATTACTCGTGGTAAACTTTAGCCATTTTAATTTTTTAAATGTTTATCTTCATCCATTCATCACATTGAAGCATTAGATCCTGAAGAAATTTGCCATTCTAACATTTGTTACTCCATTAATATTGTATAAGAAATATTTGCCGTAGAAATGTTTTCTCACTCTTTTGACGTTCTGACAGAAAAAAAAGTAATCTGTTTATAGTGAGGCTGCCATTAATTTGTCTTTATCATTAGACAGAAGAAAAAACATCTTAGACGAATCAATTGCACTTAGTTAATCAGTGCATCAAAAAATGAGCATAACGATAAAATATGCTGCTTTTTTATTTTGATATCTCATCAATCCATATTGATATTCTATTTTATTCTTGAACAAATCATAGTTAAGTTCATGGTTGATACAGGAATTTTGTTTGGTATGACAGGAGGAATTGACATATGTTGTCAGAGTCAAATTTTTGGAGTAGTAGGAGTGTGGCGTAACTTATATAATAGCAAGAAGTAAACATGAATATGACTAGCACTGAACTAGTAAAAGATAAAAGTTAAAATTGTCAGAGCATAGAACACATATGAGAGGGAGAGGAAATTAACATAACAGAAATGCTTGCTGGTAAGCTTGTTAGCGATGACTTTAAGATAGAAGATTTTGATTTGATAAATGGCACAGAGCTGAGTTGACACGAACTGAAATTATACTGTTTGAACTATTTTAGGAAGAAGCGGTAAATGCAAGACGTAGAGAGAAGGTTAAGGGAGATGTCTGCAATGAAACAGGTGAAGGTCAGTTCAACGAGGTCAGGCGATTGTATATTTATTCAGACGACCTCAAGTGATTTGGAGGAAAAAGGAGGGGTGAAATGCAGAATATTTTTTATGAGATGAGTATGAATGAATGTGTATATGAGTAATGGTAGTAGTAGTGGTAGTAGTAGTAGTAGGTAGTGTATGAGCGAGAGTTGTGACAGCTTGTACAAGGCACCTTCGAGCAGCAGCCAGTGAATAGACGAAGAGGTGCTGATGGCGATGAAGTGCTGCCAGCCAGTTCGACAGGGTGTGTGCTGTGAGCTTGGGGAGGTGGTGCTATTGTGTCGAGGGATGGGATGGGAACCACTGGTACCTCCTGGTACCGTCTCGCTCCCTCAAACGCACACTCTCCCTTGTTGCCTTGTCAACTGCTGCCAGTTTTTTTTCTTTCTTGTGCTTCATTGTTCGCAGGTGCTGTTGTCTTCATTGTTGTTGGTAAAGTCATTTTGACCATTTAAATGTTAACTCAAATTTTGAAAAAATAATTCAGATCAATCAATTATATGATATGTGATAAATAAGTAACAGCGAAATAGCTCATAATGTTGATCTGTTTGGAGGAGAATATAGTGATAATGATTCTGTTGATGACTATGGGGTCAGTAATGGGCAGTGTGTGGAATGTATCTCAGGTTTCATTACTTTAAATTATGTACTATAATGTTTGTTAACTCATTTCACGTTTGCCCTGCCATTGCCACTTAATGGTAGGTATGGTGCTGTAAGAAAGATATTTGATGTGACCTTGTACTCACTCACTCACTCACGCACTCATTCACTTCCTCCTTTCCTTTTTCCTTTCATGTACTTGGCTTTAATAGCTTTACCTCTGTCACTGTTGTTGTTATTATTATTATTAATTGGTCAGCTAGACATATTGCAGTGTCCACACAAATTGTTTATTGAGCAGCACGTGCTACCTTTTGCAATTCAATAAAGCTGTTCATTTTTGTTGACACTTTGGTTTGGTTGGTATTTAATGGTAAGAATGTATTCAGTGGTTGTCACTTTCAATTTGAAACATCTACGTGGTTCTGTATTTAGTTTGGCTACATGCCAAATATTAAGCGCACCTTATTAGACCCGAAATGAATATTTCTAAACTATCGGAGTCTAAAACTCATAGAATATTCATCACAGTGATATTACTGTAGAATAGCAATATGAGTACATATTCCTAATTTCCGTCACGCTTATTTATAAGTGTCTGATATACGTCATCATCTTTTAATAACCACATGCAAGCAGCACACATTTCATGCGTGTGTACGAAACTGATATTACAGTGATAATAATTATGTGTAGAAAATGACAAAAATGTATAGTACATATATTAATTGTATTGTTTGCACGAGTACAGTACTTATATGAAAGATAATATAGCATGATTATATCGTAAGATGAAAACTGTGTGTTGAGAGTGTAGGGAATTACTTACTGTACATTGTATTATTGTTGATAATTTATTGGCGGGAAGTAAAAAATGTGTAATAAAACAAAACAAAATAGGCATAGCTATTTTCATACTGCAACTTTTATTAATCAAACTGTATTATGCTATTATGTGTGGTTATATATTCGAATTTTTTCTACCACACCAAAAAATATTAAACTTAAATGGTCAGTTAGGGAAGAGCAGAAATGGTATTGTAAACAGCTTTGTGCTATTTTTATACTACTCACATACGTATTAGAATTAATTTATACTGTTTGTTTGCATAAATAAATCAGTCTGCATGTGTGTGTGTGTGTGTCCGTGTCCGTCTGTCTGTATGCTTGTGTACGAATACGTACGTATGTCTGTCTGTATGATGTAGTAGTAGAGTAGGGAGGCAATGTCTGTGTTGAGCTTACAGTTGATGACCTTCTGTACTGTGGTATAGTGCTTCTCATCAATTCTCTTTCATTTTCTATGCTTGAAAACCATTATTACTGATTTTGTATTATTGAAGAATACTTACTTATTGTTGATATACTTTTACTGCCATGTGAGTAATAATTTTTTATTTATTCAAATTTTTATTAAAATTTAATCAAATAGTGAATTGTAAAGTAGTAGAATGGATAATTGCATTAGATAGTAGTATGAATTGAGAGGGAAATGCTGATATCATTGATGAATAATTTGAATCTTATTTCTTGATAGAAATTTGGCTGTGATTGCTAACTAGTCTTGTCGTGTCTTGTCTTGTCTTGTCTGTTCATTGTTTGAGAGATAGGCAAATTTAACCTTGGGATTTTGCATTCAGAATGTAGCAATATAAAAATATCAAATGAAAATATTTTTTGAAGGTCGATCAAAGTTCAGGGATGTATGTATGTCGTTTGAATATGTATAATTCATTATGTGAGAGATGTTACTAGTAATGTAATATGGATGATGTGTGAGCACTCATTTCAAATATTCACATTCATAAACATCTTTGCTACTGTCTCAGTTTTATCTTTCAAGAGCAATTACTGTAATCATTATAAGTTTACTTGAAATGATGTTAGCCGAGTTTTTTTGAAAGTTAATGACCTTCATTTGTAGATGTTGAAGTAAAAGTATCTTCTTGAATCATATTGGCAGTGACGAAGTAATTTAAATTGAGTCAGTCCGTAAATTAGCTATATTGAATACCTCAGTTTTTGTCTTCCACAGTAGAAGTTTCGAAACTTTCTTTGTCGTTAAGAATTTATCTCTTTTATTTTATCACAATTATAACATTGTATTTATGTAAGAATCAGCTTAATGTGTTATTGTGTTGGATAGAAAAGCATCAAAATTGCTCTGTATCTTCTATTTATACAGTTGAATTCTGAGATTAGTTTTGCTCTGTGAAAAATTTTGTACAAATTAATATTTGATTATATGAGTTGTTAGTAAAGTAAGCTGACGTACGTTTGATTCTCATTAAGTGATCAAGCTGATTTTTGAAGGTGAGATTAATATGCTATGTGTAAGTAGACGTAAGTGTAAATTATTAAAATATTTAAAAAAGTCGTGTTATTTTTGAAAGTATTCTTTTTGAACGCAACAAAAAGTATTTGCTACTTCAAATTACCTTAACTGCTTTGTATTAATTGAAAAAAATGTTGCAGCAAGCAAGCAAGCACTCACTCCTCTCCCTCCAACATTCAGTTTTTTGTTTTCAAGTTTGAGTTTTTATATTCTGTAGCAGAAGAAAGATCAAACACATCTTGCACTCTTAATCTGTTTTCTACCTTGAACTCTAAACTTAATATGCTTTTTCATGCTCGTGAACTTTTCTATTTTCTAATCAGATTTGTTTGAAATTTCCAACTTTTTGTACTTGCAGTTTTTGTTAACTTTTATTTTGCTATAGCTCACTGATGGTTGTTCAGCTAGTAGAGGTAGAAAGCAGACAAAAATTGTTGCTTCAATTGGCGCAAAAAATTTTACAAATGGAATCACTGGTTTTATAAATTGTAAAAAGTATTTAAAAAACCTTACTATTGTACTAAACTGAATTTATTGTCGAGTTTTATTTATATAAATAATTTGCAACTTCAAAAAATGAGTAAAGTAATCTAATTGTTCTATTTCTGTTTTCACATACTTCAGTCTTCTAACAGTAATTCAGTTAATACTTAATGAATACTATTCATATAAACATGGTACAGCATGGATGATGATCCATGCTTCACTATGCTTTTTTGCAATTGCTGTACTTTTTCTATTCAAATTAGCTCAGAACTAAAATGAGAAATTTCTACTGTAAGCTTTTGAGACAAGAGGATACTGTATAATTGAATTAATAATTGTTATTGTTTTGTAGAAAGGGTTTAGTCGTATTATAGTTCGCTAGGCTGTTCATGCAGTCACTGGTTCATAAGCAGCAGAATATGAATGATTGGAGCAAAATTTACTTTGTTTTTGCTCCTTGGCAAGTATCCAGAAAGCGTAAAAATATTAATTTTCACAATTATAATAAGCATTTCCTTTGAATGCGACAAAGCAAACGCTTCTGTTGCATTTGTTATTACAAGTGGGATTCGTCATAATACGCTGGAGAATATATAAATTGAACTGAATGATATAAAGGTCAACATTTTTTCTACCTCCTTGTAATCTTAATCAGATACATATGGATTTGATTACTCTCTAAGATTGTATATATGTAATATATATATGCCTATTTGAACTCTGAACTGCAGTCAAATACTCAGCTGTATTTGCAGTTGCATGCTGTTTGCAACTTCCTCCTTTCTGCTCTGCATCGCTCGCTAGCTAACATGGCAAGAATGCATGCTTGCTTGAATGTTGTTAATTGTGAAATCCAAGAGTAAATTTAACTGCTAGCAAGTATATTGCATTCATTCTTCATTTCAGAGAACATTCTAGAAGCTTTTTTTATTCCCTTAAATCTGTAATCTGGAATAGTTAGTCAAGTCAAGTTGCTGTGAGTGATAAGCTTTGAATGCATCCTTGTCTTATCACATTGCTTAACAATTGATCATATTTATTCTCATGTATGCGCATCATTTGATTGATAACTTTGTTGCTTACACGATCAATAAATGCCATAATCTATTTCAATTCCTCCTTGCTGTCTGTCATCAATACTTAGTTTTACTTACACTTACAGTATATGCATTGAAAATTAACATTTTGTTGATTATATACTTTTTTAGCTGCGATATAAGCAAGTTTTGTTATTTTATGTATGCATATGATTATCTGCCCGTGTACTTGTTAATCTTTGTTTTGGTAATAATGTTGGTGTTTTTGGTATTAAGATAAGAAAGCTGTGAAAAAAGTTAGGTAGTTTATTGGCCTGAGTCCAAGTTGGACTTCTTGGCCTCAGTTGATTTTTCACATTATTGCAATTGAATTAATTTTGAAAAGAAGTGGTGACGACGGATGAATGTATGCTATTGCTACTACTACTGGCATAAATTACTTTTTTGCTCTTTTCTTTTGCACTCAAAATATTTGCTGTTAACTTTTTTGATAACGAACTCTGACCTTTACTCCCGCTTTTATCTTATATCCAGAAATAATTATGCCTCCTCACTTTTTGATCATGTTTTTGAGCAATACTCATTTGTCGCTGTTTCACACAAATCATGTAAACGTTTGATTTTTGAATGAAGGTAAAGCGAAACTGATTATTATTGTTCTGAATTTTTATTACTATCACTTACTCCATGACTAACCAATAATGATGTTGCAACTAACATCATTTCCATTGCAATAATTTTCGATATAACAAAGAATGATGAGGAAATGAACTAATTGTTATCATGCACCATTTTGAATCAAGAAATCTATAAATGGAACAGTTAGTTCACTTCCTCATCATTCTTGGTTATATCGAAAATTATTGCAATGGAAATGATGTTAGTTGCAACATGATTATTGGTTAGTCATGGTAGTAAGTGATAGTAGTAAAAACAATAATAGCTATAGCAGTATTAATAATAGTAAGTAATAGCAATAATAATAAATAATTAATATGAATGATGAAAAGGGAACAAAATTGGAAAAGTAAAATAGTGCGGAAAAGTAAAACATGGTATATGATATAGGTAGAATGAAGTGAGTGACCGCGATATGAAGGCAAGAGGAAGGGCCGACAGGTTTTCGCCCTACTCCGTGCTACCCTGTACCATACCTCATACCATACCGTACCACACCATAATGTCAGCTCAGCACCTACAAAACAGGTTGAGGCATCTGTGCTGCTAGCGCCCTTCACCTTAACAACAGCTCTGCAAGCATTCATTCTTAAGTACCATTTCTGTATTACTCAATTAACATTGAGGTAGCATAACTTTGTTGCCACGATTTTGATTGGGCTGCAGATATTCTCTTCCTGTTACTTTTACACATATTTGCAACCTTCATATCATAGCAGTGGTGCAGAAGATTTGCGCAACATTTTACGTGTAATATCTTCCGATTTTAATGATTTTAAAAGTAGTGATTTTCAGTAAGTTATTAACACTACACTAAAATAGATTCCAAAAAAGGAGTGGAGAATAAAGCTATGGCAGTGGGTTGTTTTAATCAACCCTCGATGGTACCAAACGAAGATAAACTATCTTTTTGGGGTACCAGTGCTTCGCCATCACCACCTAATAGCTCAAATTTATTTCATTCTTGCTGGTCGCCGATGCCTGCATATACATCCGATCTTTTATCATCACCTTGGCATTCTGGACGCAGTTGGACTAGTAGAAACATGGAGCAGGTACTGTAATTATTTTCAAATTGAGCGTTTCTCATCATTTATGAAAATGTTTGAAAGTTACCTAAGTTGAAAAATTAGCTATTTAAATTTCAAAAGTTGTTTGTTTATTTATCATTATCCTATGACGGAACACAAAAAGGCTTTTGCATTTATTGCTCTTATATAATTTCGTTAAAAGTTTTCATGGCATATGTTCATGAAGTCAGCGATTAATAATGCTCTAGGAATAGTTTGTACTTGAGCAAATGTATATCAGATGTTTTCACCATTTGATATGCATTTAATCTTAATTACTGATACCAAACAATCTAGCTGCTTAGTTTCATTAATTTTTTAAAAATTTTCTCCTGGTTCTGCATCTTCTGAAAAAGAAGACAGTAAAACTATGATGGATAAAATGTACTCATCAATTTAAACATAACAGATTTTCAGTAGTAATGCAGAAAAAATAATGAGTATCACTTTCTTGAAGAAAATATCAATTCGACTTTTACTCTGCATGTAAGAAATTTGAAGACAGCAAAGTATTGATAATGTAGGATTTCAGCTAAAAAATCAGCCGGCCAAAAATTAATGGTTGATGAGGATTGGGTAGAAACGATATTTGTTGATTTTTTTAAATAAAACATTTTAGTTTCTTTTCACTGATATTCATCTTTAGTTTCTTCGACATATCCAGAAATCTTTTATTAATATGATTTCTTGTGATTTATGCATAATTTTCAGGAATGTGCTGGCAGCGATCATACCGAAAGTACACATTCAGAATCGGATCCCCAGATTTCTCCCATTCAACAACATTCACCAACTCATTTGCATTATGCAAATTTATGGAGGAAATCAGTTGATGAAGCACTTAATGCAGCAGATTCATCTCATATTTCGCAACACTCGATGCCCTCATCATCAAAATTTTTTTCAGACCAAAATTTAGTATCTAACCAACCTACTCGTACTGTACCACCAATACCATCACAACCACCTCAATCAAATTACTTCAGTAGTTTGGCACCCTCTTCTTCACCCCATTCAACATCATTACTTGATGGCGAAAGAGAATATAACCTTATCCAGGTATTTACTTAATAAGCCCATGTCCTACTTCTTAATTTTAAAAATCATCTTGTTGTATCTTGTTTAGTCTATCATAAGCTTTTGTTTCAGGAGCTTTTGAAACTGAATATTGAAGGTTCGGTCCCAGCAGCTTCTAGATCTCCATCTGGAGTTGGTGCATTAAATCATGGCTCTTCTAGTACAGTACCATTGTCTGCTGGAATACGAGAACCGGATCGCCGATTACTTCCGATGAAACCTCCTGAAAATAGTGCATGTCCTATGGGTATGCACCATGTTCCTGTGACATTACCATTCGAGCAACAAATAAATCCTCATATGAATGTCAATCGTCACCAGCCATTGGATATGCTCAAATGGTCACCTGCACCACCTTTGCGTCAAGTTAAGGCTCCTCCTAGTAAGTTTGCTTATGCGAAAGCGTATACATTTTCTTTTATTGCGTTTATGTCTGCCTCATTTTTTCAACTTTTAAAGTTGTCGAGAACTAAGTTTTCTACATGAACAAGACATGCTATTATGTAGTTATTATAGGCTAGCATTTTGTAGTAAAATTAGTCATGTGTCTTTATTAAGTCTGTTGATTTTTATAAAATACTCAACGGAAATATCTTAGTCCATGGTCATATGGTAGTGGGATTTCATGCAGAAATCGGATTTTGTTTCAGCATTGCCTCGTCCAGTAATCGGTCAGAGTGCTGTTTTGAAAAGGGGGTCATCTACTCGGGATGATGGAGAATTCAGTTCTCTCTTAGCAGAAATATTACATCATCGAGCCTTCTACGCACGCCTTTGTAGTAGTATATATCAGAATGGACAATTGCCTTTACCACCAGCATTCAAATTATACACTCCATCGGTGAATATACACTTATATAGCTGTTTCATGATGAAATATATAGTTGGATGATGCGTAATCTATTTTGTTTATAGGTAGGTGTATGCAATAGTAGTTCTGCAAACGCGCTTGAACTACAGATTCGTTTGGACGAGAGCACTGAACAATATCGTCAGCTGGAGAAAGAACGGAAGAAAACGGAAGCAGAGTTAGCGCGACATAACCTGGGCAAAAAAATATCTTCAACCAATAGTATGCCCATCCCTCGTCTTGTACATGCTCCATCAAGAGTTGATCGTCTTATTGTTGACTTTTTTAGGTTTGTTGTCGTCTTTTAATTGGAAACTTCCTTATTTTTGCTCAAATCAATTTTCAACTGTTTGTAATAGACGTTGAAATATTTCTTTCTTCAGGGAACATGCACGTGTTGTAACATTATTATCAAAGATGGAACAACTCCGTGAATCACCATTACCACGTGACGTTCACATGGCACTGCGTGAATTGCTCGATGCTGTCAAAGTACTGCAGCAATGTAGAACCAAAGAAAGGAATATTATAATGCAGCATTTACGTGGCGAAGTGGTTCGATTCGGTGATGATCTAGAATTAGGTAGAGTCATGCATGCAGTTTTTTTATTCGTGATGGGTTGCTTCGTAAATTTTAAGAAAATCAATTGACTAATTTGTAGAAACGAATTCTTTAACAAAAGCGTTGGCGAATATTTGTAAAGCAGTAGTAAGAGCACGAGCAGCTAATTGGTGTTCTCTAATGTGGACAATTGGCGCAGATATGGAAAGCGAAAAGCATATTGAGAGAATTCTCAGTGCCAATTTCCAAATAGCTCCTCCTGAAATCAAGCATCGACCTATTTGAATTTTCCCGGTGAAATTTCTGCCAGTTTAATTTTTCTTCATTAATTTCAGTTTGTTATCAAATACCATTATTAAGCACATTCTTACATAGCGTAATGTTACCAGATCACTTCTCTCCTCCGCTTCCATTTATGTTCATATTAATATCTTATATACTTGTTATACATATTATATTACTCATTCTATCGTTAATAGCTTTTGTGCATCTTCCTTGTTATTCAGGATTGTAAGTTTTTGTTAGATGCATTGCAATTTTATGCTATCTTTTCCGTATTGTATATCGTAGTTAACATTGATTACATATAGTGCACCTGTTGGCTTACGCAGTTGGTTATTCAAATTTCATCTAGCATTATCGAAAGTTTCGTAAGTTCGCTGTCATTTTATCAGTCGTTACCAAAAAAGAAAGTATGGAATTGTCAGCACTCACTACTATTCATATAAATACACTATTGTTTGAAATTTCATATTTGATCCTACTTAATTTATCACTTTTCTATGTATGAATGTGACATAATATTCATGCCTTGTTATATAGATTTTACATAGAATCAATTATTCTCACATCTTTCTGAGCGAGAACACTTCAGGAATGAGATATAGGTAACTATTTGTTTTAGTGTAAAGCAGGAAAGGTTAATGTAGTACAGTTTTAACTGCTGACTAATCAATATAAAATATGACGTCACTGCCAGAACTATGTATGAAAATAAAATGATTGTAAAGAACTTACGAAATTGTATTCCCATACCTGGAAGTAGGAGTTCTAGCTATTGTTTGTAATTTATTATATATTCTTTACAGCATTTATTTTGCATATACAGCATATTTCGCTTCAATTTTTAACCTCATTCAAGATTTATGTCAGTCTATAACTTCCATTGTAACTTTCAATTGCCCATTTTTTTCCTGAATTGATGGAAATTTGAAAATCATTCGGGAGTATTCGTTTTATCATTGCAATCCGTAATGAGTTGATACTTATTAAGTTTTCATAGAAATAACATATATTTGTGTAAAAAACTGATCAACAGTTATACTAGTAAAAATTTATTCCAAGAAATACTTGGAAGCGTCATTTTGATGTCACATTAATCCTTATAAGTTTCAGAGATTTATAATTACTAGTTATATTTAGCTAGCCTTTAAATAGACCGGATATCTCAGATACCTTTAGCGCTTCAGTAGGACACTTTCTTCGTAGATTTCACTCGTTCTTTATTTTGTCCTTATACAATTCGCCGTATCATACACAAAGCGCCCCGATGCTAACTCTTGCTTGTTATCCGAATTTTATAGGCTAGAATCCAAACTTTTGTTAGAATTTGTAGTTGCTTTGTTTAATCATTTTGACGACCCATTATTTATTTTTGATGTTTATAAAACTTGGCCAACTGTTGAATTGCATCGCGTTTTCATCAGATAATGATCATTTACCAGCATCGCACGAATTAACAACCTTCTCGGTACGTCACACATGTGTGTCTCAAAGAGCTTGGAAAAACAAAATTGTTGAGAGGGAATGAAAATTTCGCATAAAAATTAGGAACAAATGTACAACCGACAACATAGTCGATAGATGGATTTACGGTGCTGTCTCTTCTTTGCCCTTAGTCTTTTTCTCTCGTTTATCTGGGCTATCATCATCGCTTTTGTGTCGTCTAGAAATAAGCATTTTTGCAACAAAAAAACTACATAGCTAACACTCCTCCTGTTCAAGATTACTGTGATACTCATGAAACTAAGATGTGGGAATTAGGAATCGCGCCATCAAGGTGAAGAACTTATCAAAGTTTCTGGAACGAAATATATACAGTTTTCGCTCATACCTGTATCTTTAACGAAAAAATTACCTCTTCTTTCTGTCTTTTCCTTTATCTTTATCACGATCACTTCGTTCTGATTCATCTTTTCTTCTTTCGCTTCCTTCCCTTTTATCGTCATCCTTCTCATCCACGAACTCGTCCTTTACACGATTTCCTGAATCTTCCTTTTTGCTGCGGCGTTTCTCTTTATCTCGTTCGTCCTTTTTTCGTGAATTACGTGAACCGAAAAAAAAATTCATTAGACTTTCAAAGCACATGCCCAAATCCATTCGATAAAATATTTCAAACTTCAACTTATCCATAAGAAAATATGGGGTCTAAATCAAAAAAAGATATTCCGCAGTAACTAAGTTTCAATAAGGAAGAAAGAAGAATCTGATTTTCGATTATTTTAAAATGACGAAGAGCAATTCAAATTTTCAGGCCCTGTCATAAAAACGGATGATTTGAAAAATCAAACGTATAAAAATATCATGAAAGGATCTTACAAAACTAACTTTCATAAGGAGAGGTACTTCGCGAACGGTGTCGTCTAGACCGTGATTCTCTATCACGGTCTTTTTCACGATACCTTTCAGAGTCTCGGTCTCTATCGCGATCATCACGATGACGCCTTGAAGATCTACAAAATAAGAAACCCATTATCAATCAAGGCGCAGTACTAATGGAGAAATTAGAGTCACAAGAACTAACGCAGCCGCATTTGTTTCAAATGCATGAAAATATAAATACCGTGGAGAATAAGATCTTGATCGTCTTCGATATCTTCGCCGACTGCTTCCATAATCATCATCTCCACTAAAAAACCGGTCGTTTTGTTAAGAAATAATAAAGAGTGGTAAGAAAATGAAGGAACTCCAAAAAAAAAAACAAACAAAAACAAAACAATTCAGAACTACCCTGAAATCAACTACGGATAATCAAATAAGAGTGCACCTGTCACCCGAATCGCGATCTCTATCTCTTTCACGGCCTCGATCACGATCGGATCGATCTTTGTCGTTATCTTTGATTTCTCGCCTTTCTAATCCAGGAGGTGGGAAAGCTGGCCTAGACATGAGTGGAGGAGGTCTTGACAGCGGTGCTGCTGGCGCACCTGAATGCAATGTAATTTATTTAAACCGAACTAATCATAAACTGAAGGAGACAAGAAAGGAATTTACCAAATCTTGGTGGCGGGAAACTGAGCGGTGGTTGCGGGAAATTGGGCGGAGGGATACTAAATCCAGGGGGAGGTATGTTTGTATTAGGCAACCCCAGTCTCACTGGTGGTGGTGCACCTATTCCTGGTGGCGGTAACATTGGATTAAATCTGAAATACGATATTAAAAAGCAACTCTCAATATTTTCATCCTGGCTAAGCCGTCAGATCTACGAAATGTCTGTCATTGAAATCTAACTCCAACACGAAATATTTTATATGTTATTAATAATCTTACTAAAATAAAAAAATGAGATAATACACAATAAACTACCCAGGAGGAGGTATAGACATATCAACTGCAGAAATGTGCCGTGCGCTCATGTCATTGAAACTTTGTGGTGGTGTTGATGAACCAGGCGGCGCTGGTTCATCTACTCCAGGGGGACCATCATTAGTGGAAACTGGTAAACTAGTAAGAGCTGAAACTGTTGGTATCGATGCGTTGCTGAAATCAAAGCTGATTATGAACATAGAAGTTTACTGAAACCGATCAAAATTTTTGAAAACATGCTTATTAGTGGCATTGGGTATATCAATAATTGGTGGAGGTTTTGAGAAGTCTGGCGGAGCTTTGGTAAAATCTGGAGTTCCCGATGCAGTGACAGGTGTCGGAGGAGGTACTGAATTATCTGGTGCCAGTGGTGCTACAACTCCATCACTCGTACCATCCAAAACACTGACTGTCTAAATTCAATCTCAGTCAATCACTTTTACAAAAGAATTTTTTCTACGAAATTTATTCTGTTCCTAAAGGTTTAAATACTTTAAGATGGATGCAGTGTGCAGCTTCGTAACGATTTCTGTGTGACAAATGAAAAGAAAATCGAAACTATAGATAGCAGTATTTTAAAAGTCCACAAGACATATGTACACTGATCAGTTATGACGTTATTGTTTCCTCAAGCTTTTACCCAAGACATACCGAAACTGATAAAGAAGTGCCAGATGTTCCGCCAGAACCAACCGCTCTCGGTACAGAACCAGTTAATACAGTACGCATTATGGGCTGTTGTTGATTCTGCAATAAAAATTAATTAGAAATGGTTTTTATGATATGGACTAAAAATCTACTTGGAAAACTTAACTGTTTCTAATTTAAAACCACTAAGATCCATTGACGACTTATCCTGTCCCAAAATTGGAATTACTTGTGGACCATCTAAAATTAAAAATGATGACGCTCACATGCAAATTTCATTGTTACATTTTTGATTTAGTCTTCTACTGTAGCACTACATTTTGAAACTTGAACGTTAAATTGAGAATCAAAAGAATAATATAAGATAATCGATCTATAGATGATTCTTTCCCTACGTCACCGTGAGGGTATCTGACAAGTTTTAAACAAAAATTGCTCTTGAATATCTCATGGTACAGACTCGCCAAAAAAAAAAAAATTGAAATCGGTTAAAATCAGAGAATGTAAAAGAGTAAAACAATTCATTACTTGTGGAAGTGTTATTTTGTGAAACAGGAGTAATGAGGCTTATGCTTGAGAAAAGAGCTTTATTAACGGCAGCTTGTGTCCCATACTCTGATCTCAGTTTCCTTTGTCGCTCGCAATAAATATTCCATGTCTCTGTAAAATGTAATAAAAATCTTTCGTCCTACAAAATCTTAAAATCTTTTCACAAGTTTTTATTAAAACCTTCACAAAATCCGTAATTGAAATAGTCAGTTATGTCGGCACCAGGTTTTTGCCAAGGTCTTTCCTCCATCTGTGCTAGATCTAAATCATATATTGGCTCTCCATTGATTAAAGGAGTTCCATCCATATCAAGCTTACCAATGTTACTTGCAGCCGTTTTCTAAAGTCAAAATGTTATATAAGAAGGGATAAGATTCATGGTACTTCCAAATTGGAAAAAATTCATTACTAACTAAACTTATCGTACTATAGAAAAAAAAAATACCGCAGCAGAAAATGGTATATTTTGTTTTATCTGCCCAATTGTGACTACAACCTCATCATCACTTTCGTCATCATCTGCCAGCAGTTCATCACCAGCAACCTTAAATATTTCTTGTAACTATAAAAGGACTACAATAAACATAACATTCAGGAATGGAAAGATTGGTCACAATGTTGAAAAAAGCAAATCAAACCTGCGCTGCCACTGCATCTGGTTCCACGTTTTGCTCATTACCATTCATAAGTAAGTCTACTAGACTATCAGTCATTTCTCCTTCTTCGTCATGTGGAGGTAGTGGTTCTTCATAGTGCTCTTCCCCATTATAAGGTTCATCCAGAACTGCCCCTTCCGTCATCACAACAGAACAATCCTGACCCTCGCTCTAGAAGCACTCCTAAAAGTTTTTTCAAGTACTAAGAGTTTTGAAGTGTACAAAACATCTAAATATGGTCGTGAATAAATTTAATTCCTTCTTTCCAATGCATCACTTACAATTTGCGATCCACCGATACCCAATAATGTTGTTTAAATATTAAATATGCAATGCAATACGTTCCACTAAATGTTCAATTCCTACACCTTAAAAGACGTAGTGATAATCATCTCGAAATCAATGTATTTAATATTAAAGAGAATTGATTGGAAATCAAAAAACCCATACTTTTCTTTGCGAACGTCCTAAAAAAATTTTATTGCTAACAAGCATATATTTTACCAAGAAATTCATCGACAGCATTTTCAATGAAAAAATTACCTTAGATCACTAAATTATTCGGAAATATAAAGGTAAAATATAATATTCAATAACTTAGATAAACACGAAATTTAATAACCAACGACCAACATCATAATACTAATATGATAAAGGTTTAGGTACACGCTAATAGCACAACATAGTTTTAGTGAATCACATTCAAGAGAAAAAGCACTACATTTTTCTAGATGAAAAATACCTATATTCAAATGCTATAAGAAACCTATATTCAGAATACTCGTATTTTCAAACATATTATTAAGTACATATAATTTCATCACAATCAACCAGTACTATTATGCTCAACTTTAAATAGAATTGAAGAAAACAGTAGGCTTGCAAAGATGACTTCTACACACGTTTCTGGGAACCAATTAGCATATTGTACGCAAAAAAGCAGTTGAGATCCACGTGCTATAAGAATCTTCGATTCTTATAAATTTCATGATGTTAACTTGAAGTAAGAAAACGATTTGGATAGAAAGTAAGACCTTCCACAGTATCATCACGACAAAGTTTTGCCTGTGCTTCCGCCGCAAGCAATCTTAAAAGTAACTACTATACAGAGGCAAGTACTACACTATACAGAGGTAAGTCTAACATATTATTTATGAACTGAAAATGTATGCTTGTATATAACTAAAGTTTGACGACATTTTAAAAGTAAGCAAGTGTCATTAAACGGGTTATTTTTTTCATATAAATTAGTTTTTCTGCACAATGACAACATTATGAACATACAATTAGTAATTCATCAACCACATATGAATGAAAAAAATGAAAATAAAACCAAACATTTTAATTTTATTATCAATGTAGAGTTGATAAAGCTTGAAGGTCAAAGTTTCTGATATGTTTAGCAAACTAACTAAAAATCAATACCTTTCCTTAGCAAGGATAACTGTAATTCCCAGACATTTTGCCAAATCCGTAGCATTACAAGTACCCATAGCCGTCACCAACTCTGTAGTATTATCAACTGTGGTCTCTACACTCATTTCCTTTAGCTGCACAACCATAACGCCACTTTCAAATCGATTCAAGCTGCAATTTCACATATATTCAAGATGAATTTAATCTTTAATAAAAATGACGCAGTGATCCTATAGTTGTTATTAATATTAGAATTCAAATCGTTTTCATGCCTGCTGCACATGTATTCATTTTTCAGTGTGGCGACAAAACATGTAATGATTAACTAACGATATGGATAAATTCATATTTTCCAACATTTGGCATGCATTCAAAAGGTCTTCAGGAGACAACAGTTCCAAACCTCGAGCCCTGTTTATACGACAGTACACGTCTGGTAATGCCATCATGCCACCACATTCCTATACGAATAATATAATTACGTTATTTAAAGCGAAGGGTTCATTTAACGAAGTAGAAAGAACAAACTTTTAAAGGTGCAGATAATACTGCCGCCAATTCCTCAGCAAGCTTTTTATAATATTCAGCACTGCTTCCAAATGTTGATTTAGTCACTGGATCGCTCACACCGAGACTAAGTAGATACGCTTTGAAACGTACAGTCTAGAATTAAATATGAAAAAGTTCGGACTGTATTTTCCTTCTCCACAGAAGCTGCTTAATTCTCCAAAAACAATTAGAAAAACAGCTCACTTCGTCATCACTTATTTCCCCTTTCTTTGCCCGTAATTTATCGGTGATAATTTTTGAAAGAGAAACCATCTCCCGAGCATACTCCATCAAGCGACTCATGTCTTCAAACGCCTGTAAAAAAATCAACTGAATCCGTAATTAAATTTCGCTCACACGAATAAAAAATGGTCACAGTATCACCTGGCTTATACTTTCATGAGTCCGATGATGATTTTCAGCAAGTCGTTTTTCAATACCTGCAATTCCCACAGCTCGAGGCGTTACAGTATTATAATTCCTTGACTGAAATTAACACATTCATTTACAGATTACAAATAAAAGTAGCAACTTAGACTTGGTAACTTTCATTTTATATTATTAAACTTTTATTTTTATATATTTCAGCAATTATTTTCCAAATCTTTATCTTTATTGTCACTCATTTCAATTTTAATTAAATCAATAAACTCCACTAAAAACTTACACTAATGAAGGTTGTAGATGTTGATCCTGATGGTATTTTTCCCCATGTGTTTAGTCCTAATGCTTCCTTGTACTTTTCATAAAACTGAAAACAATGAAACAATAAATTATTGCTAAGTGAAGTAATTGAGTTATGTAGGCTTAAATATTCACAATAAATAGAAATAATGAACATTTCAATAATTCTAAAAAGAAATTTGAAGTATACAGAAATGGTTGAAACTATCTAGGTTATTTTTGGTTTGAATGAGAAAATTAAAAAGATATTGAAAAGCCTATCTTTTTTACAATGAAGGTTAAGGCAAACTGTTTTTAAAAAACTTTTAAAGTGAATGAACAGCCCAAATGATATTTCTGACATAAAATAAAGATAAATACCTCATCTTCACCACCATTTCTAAACACAAGACGAATAAAATTGTAAGACGAAGAAGTAAATGGGCCCTTTTGTTGTCCAGGGGGTTTAGGATGTAAAGAAAGAATTATCTTTCCACCGCGACGAAACATCGATTTGTGATGTTTCTCAATGCCAGCTACCAATGAATGATGTAATATCAAGCGACAATCCTGTTGAAAAACATCAAATATAACTCTGCAAATAACAATTCACCTGAATCAGTAAAACTCCAAGTTTAAAAACGACTTCAGCTAAAAAATAAAGCATAACTACTGAAATCCTTAGTATCCAATTTATACCTTTGTTTTTTGCTGGCATTTCGCTTTCAAATGTATATATTAATCCTCAAAGTAAATTATTTCATAACGAAAATTATAGAAATAAGAATCTGAAATAAAAAAGATAAGACGAGACATAACAAGTGAATGATATATTCGGAGAATTCATACTGACCGGGTCATTTGAATCAGCCCAAATTATGCGATGAAGCGTAAGCGAAGCAGTTCCTTGTTCGTACGCTGTCTGAAACAATTTTCAATTCGATACTTTCGATCAGCTTTTGAAAATTGAAAAATATATGCAAAGCTCGCAAGTTAGAATTTACATACCTGTTTTGTATCCCCATCGTAAATGGCCACATGACCACTTTGAATTATTATATCTTCCATATATTCCCCTGGTTGATACCATGTCAATCTATTCATTACCTTGCAGTATAAATAACCAACTATCACTTCTTACTCTTTCGATATTCTTATACCACATTTGTTAATTCAGACTATAGCAATTTCATGCGGTCTTTCAATGAAAATTCTTGTTTCTGACATAATTATACCTTAAAGTACTAAGAGACACAATTATATTGCCAGCTATTTCCGTACTTGATAGAGAACTAAATATTCCACAAGCAACTGACCACTTCAGTTATTATGGATTCATTATTCTTGGAGAAATAACCTGTTGACACTTCACGTCCAATCGCAATGCACTTCATAGCAACACGAAATATCTAATTAATTTCAGGAGAACATATACTCAAATGGAATACCATTTTTGATATGAAATAAAAGTTCATTAAGAAGACTGCGCATACACTAGAACCGAATTTGTTAATTAAATTTATGAGTTTCAAAATAAGCAAAAACAGTTCTGCAATATTTAAGAAATGGTTAATTATTACTCTCAGAAGTTTCCTGTAGAATTAGTTTATTAACTGACTTGTAATTTTTCTTACTTCCAAAAATTTAGTATATTTATGAGTCAAGATTGCTTTAATTACTTCATCACACAATTACAAAATGCATACTTTTGTTCACAATTTTTTTAAAGCACACATCAAAATATACACAAAATTCTTTAAAATATTTCCAGACAAATTTATCACTGACATGGAAAAACATGTATCTTTTTAGCATTCAATAAAAAAACAACTTCAAGTACTGAAGTCGTATGCATGTAAACAAGAAAAATGTAAAAAAATATTGCGTCGAACAAAAGTAACCTACTGAATTTAATCAAAAAACACCTCTTTGAACAGCATCTGGAATTTCTCCTTTGTGATCTTTAAGCAACGGTCTAGCTTCGTATGTTGTGATACATACCTGGAAATTATTTGTGAAATTAAATTTCCACTCGTGAAGAAAAGTTACAGGATAGTAAATAAGAACAATTTTAAATATAGTTTAAAATTCTAGATATCCATTACCATGATGGAATTTTCGGAACACTGTCATCACCAAGCTCAGTAGACATATATTACGAGTTTCAATGAAAAGAAAAAATCAAAAAACATTCTTGGAATGTCCAAAAAGTTATTAACATGAGTGTTTGAAAACTGCAGAGTACAAACTTGCAATATTACATCTTATCATAATACATAGTTGAAAAAATTTTTTAACTGAAATAACCATTAAAATGAAATAATGTTATGATCAACCTGTTTCCTTATGTTTGATATATATTCGCCACGCAAGCCAATATAGTAAATCCGTGTTTTATCATCACCAAAATTATTCGGGAAATGCAAGCTAAGGTGAGTTACATTCGAAAATTTTGATGCCTTTAAAGGATAATCTATTTGAGCATTACTATCTTGTTTCAACGAGAATTCTTGATCCGCTTCCACCCTACTTGTTTCAAACGACATCTGAAAAAACTGCTTACAGCATTTTACAAAATATTTCCCTAGTTCAAAACATGACGAACTAAGAAGACAAAAAGAATTCAATCTGCACTAATACAGAAGAACTTCATAATAAAATCAGTCAAAAACCTACTGATGGACGGTCTTTGAAGAGTCTTATGCGCGCAGGATGAGTACCATCTAAATCACCCACCAAAACTAAACCTGTTATTTTTACATGTCCTTTGAATGGAAGATTAAATAAGAGTTCTTCATCAACATCACTTTCCACATACACTGTCCTATAAATAACCTATATATGTGATAAATAATCGACTGTAAAAATCCGTCAAATTGTATAAAGGATTCTTGTTTACATGTCCACATGCATACGACCTCAGTAGATATCTTAATCACACAATCCCTGAACTAGTAATACCGAAACTTTTAATTTGATAAATATACCGTTCTAACCGATCCTCCCATTTTTTGAACACTTGTGCTCCTGAACCGTCAACAGCTTCATTTAAAACTACCACCTATAATAATCTGTATGAAATGAGTCATGTTGCTACAAAAAAAAATCTTCCACCAATTTTTATAAATAATTTCAGATCCGATATCATACTGAAAAAGACGCATACTTTCATACAGACAATTGTTAACAAGTATAAGTGATTTGCTCATGGTGCTACAGAAACTGTCTCGTATAAAAACCTTTTCAAAATCAATGTAAGAATAAATCGTATATTGCATCCCCTCACTTTTGTGCTCTAAACCACTGATTTCATGCGCGCAGTGAGAACTCATGATTCTGCAATTATTACTGAACTGACACAGTATAACGATAAAACACTGATTAGTTTACTAAAAAAAGTTTCACATATGAGTTCCGCGACGATACGGGCATAAGATGTAGCAATAAGAATGGATACATTTTTTAATTCTATTATTCCACACATAAATAAATCAACTACATTCTGAGTATAAATAATGAGTACTTCAGAAAAGATAGTTCAAGACTAGTAATATAACGACGGACTGTTCCTTCTGAGAAATTCTGAGCGGTAATTATTCACAGCTTCCCAATAAAATTATTGCTAAAAGAATAAAAAAAAAACATAAATTGAAAAAAAGGAATGAGAGTACGATCGCACCAGCAAGATCTTAAATTCATAAGAATGAGGCAATTTTCATTAAATTATTATAAGACAAATGATTAAAGAAATGCTAAAAAATGAAATATTCTGCGCTGTCAAATTATGAATATTTTGTAAAAACATGACAACAACCTTTTTTTAAATACCTTTCACTAATGTGCATAGTTTTTAAAACTGAAAAAATAGAAAAATTATCACGAAATAACGACAGGAATATGAGATTCTTTGATTAGCAATTTTTCAGCTGAAAAACTTTTTCGGTGTGTGATGCGTAAATCTGGCTGTAGTTTGTCTTCATAAATCCGACTCAATGCCTGTAAATCAATCACTTAGTTCTTTTGAATTAGCAACCTTTTATGCCAAATAGGGTTTTGAGTAATATTAATTTAACAAATTCGCACTAAATAAGTGCATTCCATATCTGACTGCAACATCATCCTAGTGCCACATTGCTAGTATGCCTAGTAATAAAAGAAATATATAGTGGGCCTAACAATAAATTAAATTGATACCTCCAACTTCCTTGCTCTTTCTTTATACAGTGGTTGTAGTGGTAACTGTAAATCGTTAGCTATAGCTAAAGTTCTTAATTCGTAATAATATTTGGCGTAAACAGAACTGGGAACGTTGATGTTGAATTCGAGACATTCTAAAAACTGCCTTTCTAGTTCATTCCTGTAATACAATTTCTCATTTAAAACATGAATAGGGCAAGTTACTGACACCAGAACTAACAGTAATAGCAAAGCTTACATATCATCAACATTTGTATCTTTCAAAATTTGACAATAATCAACGTTCCAAACTGCTTGGTCATCCCACACTTTTGACGCTAGCATGATGGCCCCCAACACCACTCGTCGCCAATTTGATGGACATAAATCCATCTCAGCATAATTTAGCAACCGTTCTATATATACCTATGCAACAATAATATTGATTTGCAGCGAAAATTTAAAAAAAAATTTTCAAGAAACAAGACTCGAAAAGAGACTGCTAATCAAAATACATACTAAAGTGATAATTGCGCATTCTGCCGTTAACTGAGCAGCATGAAAAAGGGTTCTAATAAAACGATATATCTGTCGATGATCTGGATCCCTTGATATCACTTCGATGGAAATTGGATCTCTCTAGAATATATTGCAAAAATTGTAAAAATATGACTGCATCAATCACCTGAGTAAAAATTACAACAGTATTATACTTGTTTTACGTGATTCAAATGAAGCTAATCCCGTAAAATCTACAAGTATTACAAATCAACTGAAATTAAGTCTGAAACATATGCAACAAGCTTATGTTGTTAGGTAAAAATTATACAATATTATTAAAAGTTTAAGTCAACTAAAACCTCAGCTTTTACATGTCATCCATACTTAAATCTTAATTACACTATTCTCTTCATTGCAAAAGTAGATAACAGTTAAAACCAAAAATGTGAAGGTGAATTGAGATGTTACAATAAAAATTGTTCAAATTCTAGAAAAAGTGTTTTCTTGTTTTTACTAGACAAAAAAGTTGGATATATAACCTACCGATATTGGATGTAAACGTTCTTCGAAAATTTCCATAAGTCTCTCATGAGCACGATTTTTCCGATTTATTATATGATAATAAATAGCTAATGAAATGCACTTTATTGTATTTTTCAAATTTGGCTGTGAAATTGTTGAATCATCAAGAAATATTGTTGAACAACTATTAGATTTCTTTAACGGCGAAATGACAGCAGTCATATGTTGTGAGTCCAATACATAGAAAGAACGTCGATTGTCCCTCACTAAATCAAGCAACATTATACTATGTTATCAAAAATAATTTTTTTTTCCAACTTCTGTGATTATCAAATTGTCCACCATACATCTATATTACAGAAATTTAAACCTTTTTCAACTCACTAGTCAAACTCATTATACAATATTTCTCCGGAAGAGTAATTAAGGCCAGAATTTTGCTAGCTCTGAACAGATAATTTTATAAAGTATTTAGTTAGTTATCACTGACAACAATCATATAATAGCAATATAGGACTAGAATTGGTTCATTTACGAAAACTTCACATCGAGTAAAATTCAATAGCTTTGATCCAAAACGGATTTAAATCAGCAGTTCTTCAATCAATAGTTCTTTGGAAAAAGTGAGATTAAACTAACATTTCATCTCACTTCGACTACGCTCCATGAATATTGGCTTGACCATTGGTTGGGTTGATGGATCTTCACCAATTTCTTCAAGTAAATATACCATTATTCAGAAAATAATAACTACACCTTGCTTAATAACAAACGAAAAACAAAATATTACAACAACTCACCATCAGGCAATTCTCTTTCGCTGATATGAGGAAGAAAATTAGTAGATGTATCTTCTCTGGGAAATATCTCATTTAAGTACTGAAGATGTATACTTTAATTTAGCATTCTGTCACAACAATTTCCTCAACTATAAAATATTTACATTCATTAGAGTGTATTAAAATTATTTAAAAAGTCTCATAAATATGCCCAAGCAGGTTTTAATTTATGCTAAAAATGTGAAGTAAATTGATATGCTAAAATAAGATTTGTTTAAATTCTAATGAAGAAGTTTTCTTGCTTTACTTGTTAATGACTTGACCCAATATCAACCTCATGATTAGCATGTTGTTTCACATGATACACTAATTCCTTGTTCCTGGACGTTACTGAAGTATCTTGCAAACAGCAGAGTGCATTACCCATACCAAAAAATATAATAAATATCACAAATTCATAGGTCATTCCCCATAGCATATCATCGTGAAATTGCTTGCTTACTGCATTGATATTAGAATTTGTTAGTAATCCTTGAAAATAAGAAATTAGTGATAAGAAAATAATAGTAAGTATTCTTCGATCACGATTGATAACAAATCACAAACTGCGGAAGATTATAAACACAATACATGAAATGACTGACTCGTGAAACAACTAAATTGAACAAAAACTACGTCTAATCTAACAAAAACATTAATAATATCTATGCCTAGCTTTATTCGAATATCAGCCTACTGCTATTTATCTCATACACAGTTAATTTAATGTAATGGAGACGATAAATTTTCATTATTGGCGTCATCAATTTACAGGACGCAAATTTATTAAACGATATTATGTACTCTGTAAGGTTATTTAAGACAAGGTTGTTTATATCTGCAAGGTCATTTGAGATATGGGTGTGTATATCTCGTTTATTGTACTTTTAACTTATCGTGTGAATAAGTCTTATCTGATTTTAGTCTTCCGTACCGTGAGGTATGTTGTGACATATTTTTTGAACACATTGCCTCATTGCTTGTACAATTCGTACTTAAGATCAAGTATTTTTGAAATCATTCTATTTTACTCTTACAATTAGAAAAAGCATCCAATACTGAAATTAACAATGATGTTTTACTTAATGTTAAAATGAAATTAAACGCAAAGTAAATCTGTTTTGACATTAAAGTGAAACGTGAATATCCTTTGTAATTGAACTTGGTTTCTTGTTTTGATTTTTATCATTGAAAAAAGTTTCTCTTATATTCACTTTGTGTTAGATACTCTAACGTATCGGATTGCATGCTAATTTTAAAGCAAAAGTTATGAATAGAAAGGGAGCAGTGAAAAATTAAAGCAGTAGTATATTTCAAGTATGTTTTTGTATTGCTATATAAATTAAAATCAACTATTTGGCATTAAAATGCATTTTTATCTCATACATTTTTACGTAGCATATGTTAAAATGTATTGCACTGCATCAAAACCAAGAGTATTATCACGTAAGTACTATGATTTGTTGTGGTATTGTGGCTAGAATATCTTCTGAATTTTGTATTTGAGCTTTCATTATGATGAATGATGGTAAAGAAGTGTCGAAAGATACACGAAATCATCGTACAGTTGAAGAGGGTATGATGGTTGTGGAACCAGAAGGTGAAATGAATGATGATCACTGGGTATTAGATGATCGCATGAAACGTATGATTATGGACTTGCAAAGGCATTGGCTTACTGATTATCAACAGTCTAGGGAAAAGTTATTGGTTGAAATGACCGAACGAGTAATATTTTCTAAATTATTGTAGAATTTACCTTGTTAAAAGTAGGAGTCAATGAAGAAAGAAGTATAGTTTAAGTTTTTACAGGATTTCCTGTTGTATTTCATGTGTCGTGGAAACCCTATTATTTTCTGGTAGTTGCTATTATGAGCAGGTGATATTCCTTGAAATTACTCTGGAGCACACTGCTATCATTGTCGTTTTGTATTTCATAATTTAAGATCAAAAATTATTACAATTTACGATAGAACCTATTCTCATAAACAGTTTTTAAAATTCTTTCTTTTCTTTTTGCTACACGGAAATCTTTATTTTAGTTAAAATTTGTATAAAAATCGTGTATTTTTTATCAAAAAAATTAGTCCTTCAAAAGTATTGGATTTCTAGCTTCATCAGGAATTTCTTTCGGATCAGCAGAAAATCAGAACAGAACTTCTCACGCAGTTCAAAGATGAGTTAGATGCAACTAGGTTAGTGTCTTGTTAAAATATTTTGGGCGTAAATCATTTTCATTAATTTCTTTGCATCTCTCATTCTGCAGTCGGTTACTTTTTCAGAGCTGAATTGGAAGAAAAGTATCGGGAGTCTTTAAAAGTTGAACTGGCTAAAATAAATGAAAAGCATAGAAAAGAAGTATCAAACATTAAAAAGAAGCAATGGTATTTCTTTGTTTTTTACGTAAATGTCGTTTTCATTGAATTTTTACAAAAATGATATGCGCATATCTGAAATAAGAATTTACTGATCTAATGTCATTTGAAAAATAAGACATTGAAGATATAAATTGTCCAAATTAATATCATTATTTTTAATGAAGAATTGTTTTTAATCAATATAAATGAAGAAATTAAAGGTGTTGGCAATGTGAAGCAGAAGCGATCTATCATTGCTGCTGGAATACTGCCTATTGTAGCGTGGAGTGTCAACAAAGTCATTGGGCAACTCATCGAAAGTTCTGTCGACGTAAGAAACAAAATGTCAGTGCTAATCAGCCACAGCAACAAAAAAACACATAGTTATTTTAGAATTCAAAAGTTCTATTGTATTGCAAAGATATTAGGATCTCAAGGAGTATTTTCACATGAAGATGCCTTCATTAACCGACCTTAATTTTCACTGTTTTTTTGAAAGGAAGTAAGTGTTATTACTTAGTTTTCTGAATTATGAAAACATGTTTGTCATTGCTTTTTGGCAACATATTTATTTAATGACTTTCAATTTTGTATAGATCGCTGAATATGTTATGTACTATGTACAATTTTTTAAGTCTGCATTGGTTTGTTTATAAGTCATTTCATCTTCAAAGTAGCATTTGATCATTGGTTCAGATCCAGTATCCATATTATAATTTGTGATGGATCAGTAATTCAAATTATTTACGAGTTCTTATACTTCTGATAACCATAATCAGGTCTTCGTATGTGTAGTAAAGTATATAGTTCCATGCATCATGGGTTCAATCGTCTCATGTAACCTTTGTTTCTTCATTTGTGTTGTGTAGTTTGTTTGATGTCAAGAAAATCAATGATTATGTAATATAGTGTCTTTGAAATGATGTGATTGAAAACAAGTATCAAAGACTTTGAGATATTCCTTTCCATTTAAGTTCATTTGATAAGAATTGAGGTTAAGTAATTTTGTGCTGAATTTTCAGATTTTTCATTAATCTTTAAAAAAAATTAGGTTAGGCTAGTTTGAGAGTAAACACTACTTAACTATTATATGTTTTTATTCCGTACTTTAAGAAGGCGTATAGGAAGAAATCCAGCGGAGGTAGTTCAGATTTGCTGATTTTCTTTGCACTCAGTTAAATACTGGAGGAAAATTTGGAAACAAATCTCATTGGAAAAGTAGCGGAGCGAAAGACTCAAATTATAATGGCGTCTAGTTCAGCAAGAGAGAAAGTACCAGAGACGTTTCCATTGAGGTCTGTGAATCAAAGTAAGTTGGATTTGTGACTTTCTGGCTCAGGTTAATGTAACTTTTTATTTCTTTGATTTCTATTAAATTTGTGAAACACGCTTAATTGATCTGGAATTAAGTACTCAGGAATGATTTATAGTGAAGATTTTTAGCAAGAGGAAGCTTGATTTTTCTTTCCTTATGTTGTGGATTCAAGAACTGACATTTCTACTTTCTTGTTACAAAAAAAGTTTCAGTCGTTTCAGTAATGTCTCAAAATTCCAATCAAGCCAGACCACCTAAAGAATTAGAACAAGTGCGCATTGTGTCTGAAAAAGAAAATCGTCATTACGCGCAAGTAATTGCAATTTCTAGAAAGTTTGAAATGCATGATAAGTAGGGTTCATATGATGGTTTTATACGATGGTGCAAATTTTTTATTTTGTGTATATTCAGCAGGTAGGTCTGTATTAATTAATTTTCAACTGAAGGATAACAAGCAGCAAAGAAATTGACTCAGAAGTGATCTTTTTGTGTAATTCTGTGTCCCAAAAATTTTTTCCTCGTAAGAACTAATCGTTTGTGTGTTATGATGACTTAATCACTGTTGTTTATGTTGCTTGCATCGCTACTGCGAGGATGCGTTGTGATCTTTTATGGTCAACTATATTTAAGGATGAAATGCTGATATCTAATTCAAATGCGAGTGTTATGGGCTGCAAACAATTTGAAGTAACAAACACCAGTAGTTTCACAGAATCAAGGTTACGTGCAACTGTAACAAACCACTCTGTGAATGACCATCGTGCTCAAGATAGTTTGAATACTGCACTGTTATGCAAGGAAGAAATGACTCTTAGTATTTCACAAGAATTACGAAGTACAGAGACATCATCAGGATTGCACAAGATTTTGAATGAAACGGAGTATGTTCTTGATGCTGCATGCATCGAAGATGAGGTGAATTTTATTGTACAATAATTTTTGATGCAGGTTGCTCGAGAAATATTTTGAAGTAGTGAATGAATAAGTAAGTGATTTATGTTACTTAAATTAAGCCGCAGTGAGGATAGAAAGTAGAAAATATTTCTTAATTTGCGGAAAGTGTTCACAACAGACCATGTATGCATATTCCGGCTGTCGTTAAAACCAGTCATATCAGTTGATTACCAAAGAAATACCAGAGCCGTGATTTTTTTCTAAGATTATGATTTTACTGTTAAGTAGTTACAATTATTAAAGGCAGGAAGCAATTTAAAAAAAATGTATACAAGATCTTTTAAATGCTGTGTTTAGGAAGAAACGTCCTATATGAAATTGAAATCGATGAAAGATACATCAATGTTTATTGATAAATTAAAGGAAGAAAGGATTTTATTAAATTCGGCTCTGGAAAATTCCAAAATAGAATTGTCAAAAATTGCGCTACAAAACAGTGAATTAAAGAAAGTAATTGAAGTAAGTTGTCGCTGTTTACAGTGTTCATTATATGGCTACTTTCTCAATCATATTAATTTAATGATCAGAACAATCTTAGCAAGAACGTAAGGAATCGGAGCGAATAAAAATGGATTTGCTGATTGCTGTGAAAGTAGCAAATGAATTTCGCATTGAAGCACTATCCAAACGAATAGCTGAAGCGCAAGAAAGAGATCTTGCCACAGCCATTATTTTTAATCAAGAAACGAAGATGGCTTCTCGAGAAAAAAAGTGCCAAAATTGGGAGCAGGAAGCATGGAAAAAGCTTATGGTTGGTTGTGAGAATGGTTTGTTTTTCGTGGTTCGAAATTTCATTTTTTTTAAGAAGCACATTGTCAAAAATCCATCAAGTGTTATAGGTTCACGTCGTATTGCTCTTCTTCGATGGTGTCAGAAAGCAGTTTCCCAATTTCCAAACATCAAAATAAATAATTTTACTAGTAGTTGGTCAGATGGCCAAGCTTTGTGCTATTTGCTGGCTTCATTCTATCCAGACAAATTGAATGCTAATGTTAGTTTGTCATAAAATTATCTTTTTTTTGTTATGTTGATGTATAAATAATTAGTGATTATTAATACAGATTTTGTTTCAGAAGATTTCTGCGATGAAGGCTGAAGAGTGTTGGATTATGGCGTTAAGAGCAGGTATTAGCATAGGAATAGAAGTAAAGGTAAATGGGGACGATTTTATAAATGGGATTTGTCCAGATTGGTCCAAAATTATGAAGTATGTCCTGAATTTGTACTATATCGTCTCGAATAATTGTGATTCTTGAGCAGTTTTGCTCTGTAATTCATTCGCTCCGGTTGTGATTAGTAGTAAATTGATATTATGATTTGTTCTCTTCATAACTCTTGTTTTTAATACACCAAATGCAAAACTCACATAACATTTATCTTAATATATGCATATCATACTGTTTATGTCGCAAAAAAATTGTTGTGTCATTATTTAAACTTTTTATATTTGTATAATTTCAGTAAAAATCAATGCTAAAATATTTTTTGTCTAAGAGAAATCTAAAGCATATTTCTCGGTTTGATTATATTTAATTTCTTTTCCAAATCGCTTCATGTAATAGTTTTATTCATGCGGGTTGTAGCCATTAACATTCCATTTTTTGCATTTTTTAGACATCATTATTCTGTAAAACTTTTGTATTATGGTCAAGTATTTTCTTTTCTGATAAGAATGCGTAAACTATATTGACATTATTTTTTAGGACAAAAAAATTCATTTGGTTATTGTGAACAACAGGGCAAGACATAAGTTTGACTGTTTTTACAGACGTTTTTACAATTGTAGAGTTTTCAGAATTGTTCCTTTGTTTGAAAATTTGGTTTTGTGAAACCTTAGAGGAAGAACCTTTTGCATAGAAATTGTATTTGTTCTTTATTTTTTTCCTGATTGAATGTTAAAATAGGTAGTATAAAATGGGAATAGGAAAGGTAGTATAAAATCTAATGGATTAGAAATTGGAAACTTATAGGAGGAAAGCACAAAATTTTAGCAACCTCTGCAAAATATGCATACATGCGATGAAAATGATCTAGTGACGTGAAAGGTTTTAGTTTTTCTATGCTTGTTCTTTCTGAATCTTCCAGTTCCTTGTTTGGATAGTTGAATGCTTGCAGATCAATAGATATGTTAGGTATTGTGGAATTCGAAAAAATCAAGGTTTTCATTGCCTTTTACTCTTTCCGCTAGATTTGTGGAAGTAAGTAGAAATAAAGTAATGGATAAAGAGTGCAGCGTACGTCACGTACAGTACCGTGCCGATGAGTAAGTTCTGCATTGACTGCTGACACCTAAAACGACCATAATTTTGCGTTTATGATTATAAACTTCAACAGAAATTTGTTAATATATTACTGTATGTCCATGTCTAATATGATTATGCTTCTACTAATTATTAAAATTAAGTAATGCGTTTGCTGATTGAAGAAGTAGTGTCGATGATTGATAACAAGATTCTTTTTCTAGATTCATAAGGGATCTGTAAGACTTACGGGAAGTCAGTTTGAGTTTTAACTCTATAGACATAGAGTGAGACGGCAATTCCTGCAAACATTTGTATCGTCTGAATAGAAGTAATTGCCATAGAAATTAATCTAAAATAGCAACATTTATTATCTTGGAATTGATAGAATAAACGATGTAAGCCAGCAGTATTTGTCAGTGCTAAAGTAGGCTTCTCAAATGGAATAAAAAATTTAAGGTTAGATTTTATTACTGCGTGTAAATCAACGCTTTACTTGGGTGGACGCATTCCGCAAGATGTGAAAGCAAAATAAGTGTACATGATAGAATGTGTCAAAAGGTTGGTGCTAATAAATGCCTTACCAGAACCAGTATGTTCAGCACCTGTAATTTGCTAATATTACCAGCAAAAGTAATGGAGTCTGTAAATTATTTGCTAGAGTATTTATCCGAATATCTTTATATTTGAAAAAATGAGCGGTAGCAGTAAAGTGGAGAAGAAGTTGACTTTTAGCTTGACCTGAATGAGCAGAATAGATAAGCACTGAGACATGGTGATAATAATGCAGGAAGATTAATGGCTTTTTCCTCAGAACAATGAATAGTGTATCACCGAGTTCAACTATTTTTGAGAGAAAAAACACGTATGCCCAGAAGGCAGAAACACCATATGGATGCACGGAGTAGCAGAAAGATATGTAACTTCCTTTGTATATCAAAGAATGGAGAAAATCCTTCAAGAACATTTCATGTAATGAAAAAGTCAGTAAAGATTTGTGGAGTAAATTACTCATTATTATGATATTTGTTGTGGTCAGTTTAAATTTAAATGTGTTATCTTAAGCTTCAGAAAATGATTAAATTTGTTTCTATTTGCCAGAAATAACATAATGAAAGTTGAGTCTTGCAGTGGTCACTAAAGCATTAATATGATATTACAGGGAATGATAAAAATTTTGGAAGAATGTAATCTGTTGTTGAGTGTTTCATGTTTATAGTAGTAGCAAGTAACTATGTAGTAATATAGTGATAATAAATTTGATCTAATCAATTTAAAATATTCTAATGAATTTTTAGGCTTAATTTGAATATAGTTAATTAAAGTAATCATAAATATGGCCACTTCACTAAATCGAATGAAAGCGATAGCACTGAAAATAGCTAATGAAAGATTCCAAATGAATAAAGTCCAGTTCAATTTGAATGGAGATCGATCATTCATAAAGCGTTGAATCATTTTGATGATCAGAAAGTACACGAAAGATATTGTAACTGTATGGTGCCAATTTCTTTGCATCATATGAGTCTTCTCGACTGGATCTGAGATTTTTTCGAATGGCAATGCATAACTGAAAAAAGACATTTTTCGTCATTTGTGAAATTTTTTACTGAGAATGAAAACATGTACACACATTTGTTTTTTTATCAAATTGAAGTGTTTTATGATTTTACAAGAAAATACTCTGCGATTTTTCATTCAAAGTCTGAAAAAAAATGATTAATAAAATTATCATAGAATCTATTTTAAGATATCACTAGCTACAGTAAACTTGAATTCGTTTTTGAATTCACAGTAACAGACAGTATTATTAAAATTTAAAAATAAATACCGAAAATTCAAAAATATTGAGTAATATTAAAATACTAGTACTGATAAATCAGTGTTACTTATAAATAGTTTCTAAACTATTTTATCAGTACTGAACTTATTTAATGCAGTTCTTCATAACTTAGAAATTATATGGTTTAAAATATTTTGCATCAACAAAGTAAATAAATATTAAACAGAAAAAAAATACCATTTTAATAAATATAAAAAATCATAATCAAATACCTATATATGTAGTCGTTGTGCAATCCAGAGAAATTATTGTTATACAGCTCGAAATTATTTAATGAGAACATTTTGTGCCCGCTGTTGACAAAATTGTAGACGCTTTTAAAATTATTAAAGATTAGACTAAATGCCTAAATGCATTGTTCTGATCAAAATTACTGCATACATAAACATTTTGAATGAAAGATTGTAAAAGTATGTTAAAGGATTTTCTGCTCAATTATGATTATTAATATTGCAATGAGAAAGATAATAATAGTTATGTATATCTTTGCCGGTAAAATATGGCAAAGATGAATTGTGCATATATCCATCTTACTGGTAAAGAAAAAAAAGTGAATATGTAATTCCAAATATGTATGACAATTATGTCGAATTACCATCTAAACACACACACACACGTATATATATTAATTAATTTATTTATTAATTAATTTATTAATATTTATATATTCTATGTTTAGAAGGCAAAAAACTAAAATGTTCAAAACTTCTTAACATCAAAAATGATCGGCAAACTCCTGGTTAGAAGCAAAAAACAAGAGTTGATAAGAAATAAAAAAAGGGAACTTTTTATTCTATATAAAAAGACCGGTTGATGAATTTGTTTTATTTCTCCTATCATCCACAAATTTTCAAGGCAGTACTCACTTCTACCCACCCCTTTACCATATAAACTTGTGATGTCTCTCGCACATTCCACTTTACTTCGTGAAATGCTTTGGCTATTTCATATTTGCGAGAACACTCATGTTTTCAATTTTAAAAAGTGTAATAAATGTTTGAGAAAATGGACAGACCATGTTGCGCATTCAAGAATCATAATACTGTAATACCAATTTCAGAGTTAATTCCATTCATTTTCCTGTATTTTATCCTTAATTTCATTTTCTTTCATTTTATTGGGGAAAGTGAAATTAACGACTCTCCTCCTAATGATAATCCATTAAAGAACAGCAGTTGTCAATTATAGTTATCTTATATCCATAAAACTACGTATCCAGGTCATTGTATACAAATCAACTCCGCATGATCATTTTGTTCCCAACAAAAATCAATCCCTGTATTTAAATTACCCTATTATCATCCTTTTCTTCAATAAATTTAAAAATTTTTCGATGTTAATTCGGCCTATTTCAATCTTTTCTGACCCATTTCGACCTCTTTCTGTAACAAACTGTTCACCACTTTTACCATAAAGCGACCCATACTATGCTGAATCATTATCAATGGTTATCATTTATTTTTAAAAAAAAGGAAACTGCTATACATTATTCTCAAGCCATATCAACCCTTTGAGAACTCATCATGAAACTATTGCAGCCAGTTTCTCATAATTCTTTGCACAAATACTGTTAGATGACTGTCGTGTTTGAAACAAAATGCATATTAAAGTTTTAGTTCCCTGAAAAGTTTACAAAAACACAGCGCAACAATTTTTAATTTCTATTCCATTTCATACCACTCTTTTTGTTTCTGCAACTTCTAAATTTTAACATATAACAAGAAAACAACAAGTACAAATACTAATTTCTTAGCCCATACATATTCGTTTTCAGATATTCAGGAAACTAAAATTTTAATTAACAAATAAAAGATCACTCTACATCTGCATAAACTGTTGCAAAAAGAATCAAAATCTTGTCTTGATCGTCATTCACATTAATAATAATGACATTTTTTACGAAAAATAATTAAATTTTTTTAAATCAAATATGAAGCAGAATAAAACATTTTCGTGAAAAATGAGCTAATTACTCGACACAAACATAATGTGTAACATTTTTGGTAACATTCGTCCCTCTCCATCTTAAAATAATGTTTTGACTTCAAATCAAATCAAGTTGCGAAACAAAATAAATTACTAAAGTAATTGCAAGAAATTCATGGTTGCAAAGTAATGGATTAAAAAGTTTTCTCAGAAGTCCAATTAAATTTCTGGTATATAAAATCAGTAATTTAAAAATTTTATAGATCACACGATGGCTAAAAATCAATACTTTCATCCAAGATGCTCTGCCCTTTGAGACGCTTTCTACAAATATACTTACTACATTCTGACACAATTCAGCAGAGTCGAGAATTTGTAAGCAACCTATGAACGATGAAAATATGAAAGACAATTGAGTGATTTTGTATAAATGTAAGATGTCGTGGTAGTAACAAAAAACTGTAGAAACTTCAAATAAACTACAAATTTTAAAATAACAGAAAAAAAACGTATAAATTTCCTGAATATTATACTTTTTTCATTGGCTTTAAAACAAATTTATATCCCGCATCTATAAACTGCGCAAATATCACTGTAAGTGAGCCATATCCGCGCACGAAAACTTGCAAAGTACCTTTTGACATTGCAGAAGATTAGTAAATTCCACTTCATAAATATCTAATTACAGATAGATTTAATTTTATAAACTGCTTCTTTGCTATAATACAACACATTAGTACAACCGATGCAATACTAAAATGTAGTTTGTGTGGAAATTTCACATTATACAAACTAATATAGTAAAGAAACTGATGCTTGCAGCAAACTAACTATTCTTACAAAACACAAACTTATGATAAAAACATCTTAAACTAAAAAATTGTACAATACCTCAGCTTATTCTAACTTCGAATTTTCAACCCTAAGCTTTCTGCATGACGGTCAACTGCTCGTCGAACATTCATTGCAGTCAACCGACAAACCGGTGATTCCGCCCAACATTCCTGCATCATTTGCAATACTCTTCCTATTACCTGAAGCATAAGTATGTAAAATACTTTCAATATATTCAACCATATGTTTTCTTTTTGCTGCCTGATGTCATATTTTTCACCTTTTATCACAATCAGATCATCACTTCATTGCAAAAAGCAAAAAACAAAGAGTAAAAAATGATAAATTACAAAAACCTAACCATATCCGTAAGCCACCACTCTTGAATAGTTGGCCGCCGCTTCTGCTCGCAGACGCATAACCTCATTTCTTCCATTGATGGATCACGGCTAATGCAATCAGAATATGGTAACTCGAATGATTTTATTTTACCTAAACTGACATATATGAGAAAGTAAACAAACAAAATAACTAAAATGCTAGTAGACAACGCTAACCATCATTATCAGTTTCACATCTCGAAACGATCTCCCAAATGATCAAGCCAATAGCATACATGTCAGCAGTTTTGTAGGCTTCGAAAGAGTTTGGAAAAAAATTGTTGTCCAATATTTCTGGTGCCAAATATCGCTGCAATAAAAAACAAAAATTGAAGATGAATACAGTATAGTTTTTGATTTTTTTTTTTTTATTGAAAATGTGACACAAAAAAATATCTTTAAAGACTGCAAATACTTCTTGATTTTGACACTTTTTAACAGATTCTAGAGAATGAAAACATTCCTTCTAGCTATAAAAGTAAAATCATACTTTTTTCCATTAACTAAGTGAAAAACAGTCGTTGTTTTCTTAATTTTACTGTAATTTTTAAAAACCTACAATTGTCCCACACTTGCTGTTATCGGGAATGTTGATCTCTCCATTCATGTAACGTACTGCCAAACCCAAATCAGCAATTACGCAGGATAAATCATTTTTCACAAGAATGTTCTTTGACTTCAAATCTCTGTGAGCAATAGCAGGTTTTCCTGTGAATAGAAAATTTCTTTGTGACTCTAGCAAGAAAATATCACTCCATACCTTTTTTTAAAAACTTACCACGTACACCGGGAATTTCATTGTGTAGAAACGACAAGCCTACTGCGATGCTGCGAATCATATGAAGCATTACTGAAGCACTGATAACATTTCCGGAAAGGTAATCATAAAGAGATCCATGTTCATGGTATTCAGTAATCAACCATAACTGAGTGCTTGTACCAGTATCTATAACTTGATGCTGTGCCTGAGGTTAAAAAAATTTTGGAGTTTTGTATAGCAAAAATGAATGTCAATGCAAATTCATTTATCTGAAAAACTTATAACAGAAAAAAGTCTTATTGCATTTCTTTAACTGATTAATACTAAAAAGCACTGATGAACAATAAATAACTTATGCTTCATGAATAAAAGCGACGAACCACTATAATATGATTTTCAAATTATTTTACTTCGAAATTCCATCTTCAGAAAAACTGAGAATTACTGATGAAAAACAGCGTCTGATAAACTTAACTTCAAACCTTTATTATCGGAAGCGATGAAACGCAACAAATTTGGATGGCGAAGAAGACTAGTTTGAAAAATTTCAACTTCACGGCTCCAAGATTTTTCATCACGAGAACAAAATATTTTTACAGCAACCTCATCACCTTTCCAGCATCCCAACCAAACCTGAACTATAGAGTTATTGCAAAATTAAAAATAATATTTTACATTATGAGAAGATTAACTTTCGCTTATACCAGCCTTAACATCACCTCTCCAAAACGCCCTTGCCCAATTTCTTTTCGCAATTCGATTTGCCGAGCAATTGTGCGCTGAGCAAGCAATGGAAATCCTAAAAAATTTTTGTAAAACTTTGAAAAGATGATGTATTTTTTGAAAATGAAACTAGTATTAAGCACAATTACACAAACTTACAGCAATGAGTTGACGGTTCTAATTAGCTAAATAATATTTGTTATACATAATACTGAATCAAAAATTTGAAAGACTGCGTTCTGCAACAACCTGAACCGGAGCCGGTTGTAGCGGAGTCATCCAGATTGCAGAGCAAATCACTCAAGTGTTCTAATTCGTCAGATGAAGTCATCAACAGATTTTCATTTCCATCCCTTGGAAAGATCTCGTTATATGCAGAAAGAAATAATACATTCGAAAAAGTTATCAAAAAAAGGATAACAGACCATAGAAAAAAGGAAGCAAAATTAGATGCATGTTTCTAATTGCAATCTGATAAACTCGTTCATCAGATATTGCTAATTAACTAGATTAAAAACAGTTAACTAATATATTTTGAGGTTTCAGCTCAACTGATGAAAATTAAATCAAGATCACTGCTATTAAATACATGAGCCTGTCATCAGAAAAAATGTTTCAAATACAGTGCACCTGAAACAAATAAAATTTAAATTATTAAAAAAGAACCCCTCAGTATGTCGTGCGTTCGAACCAGTGTGTATCCAATAAAATAACCACCGCTTCACGAAGTTTTTAGTGAAAATGACTGTTAATAAAACGAAAAATATAAAAATGCCAAACAAGATAAACGCAGCAAGATAACGAATCAGATAGGTGTCATCATTCTGAAATCACTGATCAGCAGTTTTTGGCAGTGAAAAGCAAAGCTACAAATATAAGACTAAACTAAATGTGAGGTGAAACTATACTATTTAACTTTAAAAAGAGAGTGATGGCCTGAAATTTCAACGATTTTTGAAGACAGTGTATATGAATAATGAAACGAAAAAGTCATACAGAATTATGACGATGTAAACGCAAATTCAGCTCTCCGTTACAAAACGACTGATTCTGACAACACTGCATTACGCTACCGTCATTCATAGGCTGCTTAGCACGACAATGCAAATCAGGGCTGGCATCTTTACTTAAGCAACTGAAACACATTAAACATTATATTTATTTTTCATACACTTCATGGATAAAAGCAGCGTGGTAATTGAAAACTTGAAGTCACAGCAAATTTTCTTTTTTAATTTCGAACAATTAACACATAATTAAAACCATGTAACAATTTTCAATAAAAAACATGAGAACAACTAATTATATAAAGCAAAAAATTAGAATTCTTAGGTTTTGATAAAAATACTTCAAAAAAACTTTTCTCGTTAAAAAATCGCAACCTCATTATAACCGAACGGTCGGGAAGTAAATGTTTATAACATATTCCACTAGTAGATCGACAGAGTCCAGTATAGTTACTTCCAAGAAAGGATGAAATTTCGTCATCACAACCAGAATAAGAGCAATTGCATATTAGTTCTTCTGACAAATTAATGGGTTGTCTCAAATCTGAAAGTTAAAAACTTCGAAAGAAAAGCAAAAAGTGATTACAGGTTATAATAATTCACTACTTCTAAAAAACTGTTCGGAATTTCTAAAACGTAAAATATTATGGTCATTTAAGTGTGTCGTGATGAAAATTAAAACATAAATTGATCAAGTGCATGACTTGAAAATAACAAAGATATATTTATCATATTAAAAAATATTTAAGCATTTAATAATGAACACACTACTAAGCTAAACTGCTTTTATCTTTCTTGCCAATGAAATATTCAAAGAAACTGACTTGCTTTAAATTTTTCCAAAAATTTTAGGATTTCATATCCTGGATCACTGGTGTTTTTGACACTTATCACAACAGCCAGAAGGAACACAATAATAATGAAAGTTTGCACTACTGGAAATGGCATATTTCGATGATTCTTAACAAGCCATTTTGGTTAATAACTTCTGCAAGTCCATGTTATTAATACATATATAAATGAAGATAAATGAATAAATAAATAAATACATAGATATACATATTTATGATCAAAAAGATACCGGAATAACTTTAACAGTTCCATGAGTGGCGAGTAAAATAATCAAAATATCACTGATATAATTGCAAGTAAAGAATAATTACTTCATTCCGAACTTTACAGAGATGAATTTGGATGTCAAAAAGAATTCAGTGGTTATTTACCAAATTTTTCTGAACAATACAAAAATTATTAATTGCTCGCAACAATATTCGCTATAAACTTCTACGCATAAAAGTGACGAGAAGATAAAATTTAACTCGTCTACGAAATTAAAATGACTCAAAATTTGGCTCACTTACTATTATTTTTAGTTCAAATATCGAAAACGTGTACTAAATATTTTTGTATTTATTTTTCTCAATAAAAGGCATTTGAAATAAAATGGCAATAAATGTAAAAATAATTGAGACAGTTGCACAAATAAATAAAATTATGGGAATGTCGTGAATAAAAATTAGAACGACTGCGTGGTCTACAGATGGATGGCCCTCCTTTATTAATAAATAACTAATTATGCATAGAAAGTTTCTGCTAAACATTTTTCAACCTTTTTCAAACACTGGAAAATATGCCCAGTCTAATTAATTATTTAAAAATCGAGTATGCCATCATAAAAAGGTATGAAGTGATTAAAGCTACTCATGCAAATCGCATCAGTATGATGGCTTAGGGTGCGATTTGCGAACGATTTGTTGACAATTATCAAAAGACTTAAAGTGAGAAGTTATGTATGGATGATTGAATTTGTTTGTTATTGAAAGTTTCAGTTTTTCTCTGCAAGATTGCATCTTAAATTTTAAAACTTCTAATTTGAATAATTTAATAACCTTCAATAGAAGTGTTAATGATTATTTTAGAGTCATAAATTGATGGCCAATGTCTTCTATTGCTACCGATGAAGATATTGTTGATCGTTGGATTGAAATTGATGATTCGATCAGTGTACCAGAACAAACTCTCGATGAAATTCTAGCTGATGTAAGTAATCAATTATTCTTCTCTCTTTAGGGTTTTATATTTATAGAAAGTTTTCTAATTTTATGTAAAACCATTGTGATTTTGAAAAATGGCGCCATATCGTTTATTGTTTTATGTTATTGCAGAAATTCTGTATTTTTTTACAGAAGATCTTAGACTTGGATGATGAATTCTTGAGCGGATTAGATGAAGAAGAATCACTCATCGTTTCTTCGCACCAAACTGCATCCACAGCATTGCTTCATTCTTACAAACTTGATTCTCCTCTCCACGTCACGAAATTAGGCTCGTTTTTTATCTGTTAATTTCATGTGCAACTTTATTGCTGTTATTCTCTAATTTTAGTCTTAAGAAGGGGATAGATTTCGAAAATTTTCAAATATTATATAAAGCCATTTAGAAAAAAAACCACTCTTTTATGTTATCTTTCAAAATAACTACTAAACTGTGTGACATAGCTCATTTTATCAGTTTAGTGTGCAATATATCAAAAGTGGGCTTGAAATTCTTCCACTGATAATTTTTTAGGTACAGTTAAATCTTTCAATCAACTGCATACTTTACATTCATGACACATTATTAGTATGTGATAAAATAGATGAATTTAGTAGTATGTGATCACACAGAACGAATTTCATGGTAATTTACAATAAAATAAAGTTATTTTGTTATCGTAAATGTTAGACCCATTTCAGAATCCATCTCATATCAGTTAAAGGCACAATGTGATCATAACATCGGAGGTCATGCTAAGGCTCTAGCGGTCTCTAATAATAATATTGCCGTTGGAACTAGCCGAGGATTGGTTTTAATTTTCAGTCGTGAGACCCAAAAGTTATTTTTTCTCTTCATTTGATTCTGAGATATAATCCAATATTGAAATTTAATACTGATAAAAAACTTAAATCATTTATGCCTGCTCTTATTTCAGGCTAGTTCATTCTGTAACAGCAGATGGATTTCCAGTATCATGCCTTGACTTCAACCAAACGGGCACACTTCTTGCTATGGGTTATAGCTCTGGTTCATTGCGCATATTTGATGTTGCTGTAGGTAAAGTGATTGATGACGTCAGTGATTTAGCTCAATCTGGGCAAGGACTATTACAAATATTATTCTCTGCCAGGTACAACTTATAAGAAAACTGCCGAGCAGTACTTTATTTTTCCCTTAGAACCTATCAGGCGTTTTAAATTTTCTGCCCTCCAACTCCAACTTTCTAGAGTTGTTTAAAATTATTTAATTTCAGAAAATAAATTTGCTGCTTGTAAGTCTTGGTTATTTAAAAAAAGAGTCTATTTATGTAAAATAAGAAAATATTTTCATAATTTTTAACTTTATTTCTTATTCACAAATTTTTAATAATTTTTATCGAATTTGGTTATAAATTAAAATAAAATCTTGTTTTTTCGTCCCACTTTATTATCATGGAAATCATTTTTTTTTCAGTGGCAGAAAACTTGCTTGTTTGGATAGTGGAGGTTCCGTTTATGAATTGAGGTTGTCAGGAGCAGTTCTTTCACGAAGAATACACTGCGTTTTTTCAGGGTGTCATGGAGAAGTAAAAAGCTTTTAAATATTTCAGTTCATTATATTACGTAATATGTAAATTAAATTTCTTAAAAATCATTGCAGGTTGTTTATTTGAAAATGTTGGATAATGGTCGCATCTTAGCCCTTTTATCACTGAAGAAACTCTTTCTAGTTAGTATAAAAGAGATGCGTCTATTGTACTCGATTATTCTTAATGGACCTACTAATCTGCCACCTTTGATTGACGCACAAGCAGTAACGGTCAAAGTATGTTGAGTGTATAATTTCAGTTAATGCTCTCATAATTCAATTAATTATCCCTATCAGTCTTTAATGGTTTGGATCTATTTCTATATATGATGACTATGCAGTGAGACTGTTACAAAAGTATATACTCCTTGATTTAAGATTATTTAATTTGTTTATTTGACAGGGAAATTCAGCTGTTAAAACTGCTGCGTTCTTTTTGGCTCGAGGATCGAAAATTGAATTTTACTATATACACGGTTCATCTCCAAATTTGAAAGTCATTCGTTATCGGTAAGCAGTTCCTGAAATAACGTCATTTTTCATACCCATTCAAGGTTTTCAAAAACGTATATGTATTATAGAAATTTCATAGACTTAGAGTTAGATGTTCCTCAAATATACTCATTTGTCTTTTTATAATTTTTAGAGTATTATCTTTGGATTACGACTTGATAAATTTGAAATGGGTAGAGCAGTATTACTTGATAGCCATAGATGCTAGTGAAAGAGTTCATGTGATTGACCCTGTGCAAAGCGATATTGCGATGGAAGATATTTGTGATGTTCATTTATCATATGGCACTGCTGATTTTAAGGTGTTATTAATCAAGTTTCTTGAATGAAGAAAGATAAAAAAAGCAGTTAATGCAATTCTTCACAAAATGCTTTACAGGGTTTGTCAACAGGTGGTAATGTAAGCGCCGCACTAGCTTACTTGGCTTATTCAGTTTGTTACCAGTCCATGTATCATATAAAAAATGATACATTTATCTTAGGCGAAACATCTGTTTACTTAATTTCTGTAAGTGATCAAGTAGCGCAATTGGAGGCTTTAATTGATCGGTAAGTCCTGAAGCTCCAAAATCATGACAAATTTTTGGCTACATAAAGTTAGTTATTAATTAAGTCGTCGTTTATGAAAGTAAAAAAGGCAAATTATTTTAGAGGAGAAGTAGTGTCTGCTGTGCTGTTCGCTCTTGACTTGTTTTCTGGAAAAATTGTGAGCAAATCAAAACAGGGATATTTGAAACATGTCGTTTCTTCCCGAATTCCTGGTCTCATTAATTCACTTTTGGCCTTCACTACATCGGGTGTAGAAAATGGTAAAGTGGTGCAACTTGTCGATCATTACAAAGTAAGAACAAAAAAAGGAAGAGTTCCTACTCTCATAACTAAAAGAGTATGAACCTTTTTTCTTTTGAGAAAGATGGGATAAATTTTTAAAAAATTGAATAATTAACTTATTTGTCCTATTCTTCATCATGAAAATAGATATTGAAGTTATCGACGAACTGCTTGTCAGCTAAAAGCGTGATTGCAGTATCATCCTAAACCTTTTTTGCTTCATAGTATCTTCCATATGAATATTATTTTTTTATTTACAGAAACATATTCAGTTACTTATACGGGCATGTATCATTACTGGTCAGTTAGAACTATTATATAATACAGTATATGACTGCTTGGAAAAAGATGCTCTTTCAAAAGCTATATTTTTTGAAAATATTGATGAAGTAGTGTTGGATGGACGCTTAAACGATCCTCCTCCTTCGCTGGCATCTTTTTTGAATCTTTAATTTATAAAGTCTTATATTTTCTGTAAATTTATCACTTCATATTTGTTTAATTCTTTCATAGTGTGTTCGAAAACGTACACACTTTATTAGCCAAAAAATGAACCAAACTGAAGGTTTTTTTAAATAGCATATTATTTCAGGTTTCTGATTATTTCCGTTATCTTGTCACAGAAGGTAATCTAAACCAATTCGAAGCAGCAGTAGTACGTATACCAGTTGAAAAACAGGACATTCACTTTGTGATGACTAATTGTAAAAAATATGAACTTTATGACGGTGTTATATATGTTTATAATAAAGCTATATCGGATTACATTGGACCGTTGGAGGTAAGAAGCTCATCTGGTTTAAGCGGTTCAGTTTTGTTTCTAACATTTGGTCTTTTAAAAGTAACTATGTACTGTTTTACAGGAAATGTTGGATAATGTTGCTACATTTGTTAATTATGAAGTAATATCAGACTGCAATATAGCAGTGGGAAATAAGCTGTTACTTTATATTCAGTGTTGTCTTTCGGGTATAGCTTATCCAATTGGGTCGCTGCCAGAAGAAGTAGCTAAAACTCTTCCACTTCAAGTGTATCGTTGTTTAATTTCTTACAAAGGCAAAAACGGGACTTCATGTAAGTTCATTCAATACATAATATATTCTTCGGAACAGAAGACTACCTACGCCATATTTACTTTTTCAGGTTCTATTACGTATCCTTATTTACGTGTACTTATCCGTTTTGATGCTGTACAGTTTTTCAATGTAATCCTGACGTGTTCAGACTGCAATATTTTTAAGTCAGAGTACGTTTGTCTGTTCATTTTTCTCACGATTAGAAATTCAATAGAAATTGTTTTTTTTGCAAACATCACTCATTTTCTGCATTAATTTCCAAGCAGCTGTGAACGCAGTAAAGTTATATCTTTGCAACATGTTTGTGTTTTCCTTCACTTTTCATAGTATCTATCTGCAGAGAGGGAAGGTTGCAGCGCATTGTAGAGGTCATATATAAGATAATCGACTCAATGGATCGAAATGCAGTACTTTTTGTTAATTATTTCACTCTCGTCGCATATCTGTTGCAGAAAAAAACAATTATTCCATCTTTGGAAATAATTAATGAGGTTTATTTTAAAGTACTAACAGTCTGATCATTATTTTGAAATAGGACATGTGTTTGTAATATTTGTTTTTTATAGTTGATTGAAATGGTGTTGTCGTTTGGTGAATCCGTTCAGCGAATTGCAGAAGCAGAGAGATGTATTGTAGAAGTTATGAGAATTGTAAGTGGTCTTGATGAAGAGAAAATACTTCGACAAGCCAGAAAATTACCCCAGTAAGTTGTTTCCACTCTTACAACACTAATGTTCGAATTCTTTTTTTCAGTTAAAATGCTTTCAGTTATCAAAGAATGTGAGATTGTTGTTGATTCTTTATCATCATATGATTATTTTTAGTTTACAGGTTTGTTCATACATATATACAAGCAGAAGAGATTTCATTAATTTGGTCGAATGCTATTTAAGTGATCCAGTGAATGCGGTATGTCAACAATGTTTTTCGTCATCATAGATTTTTTTTGAGGCTGCATTTTTAATTCAAATACGCAAGACGTTGTAAAATGTTTTCGTGAAATTGTAAGTAGTTGAGTTTAACTTTGATTTCAGATGTTGATTTTTCCTGTGATCAGGACGTTGATTTTAGAATTGCAAGGCAATGATTTGTCAGAATTTCGCTTGTTTTTGCAAAATTCCTTAGTGGTACGTTAAATCTCTTCTTTTTTGTATCCTCAATTTATTTTAGGACTGTGTGACAGAATTTTTAAATTGCAGTACCTAAAATAAAATCTTACGAAGACCATAAAGCATTTTGAGTTTTCTTTGTGTCATCTGATATTGTTTGTAATTTTTTTGTAGAGATTTAACAAGATTGACTGTTTTCAAACAGCTGAACTTGTTCTTGATCACTTTATGGAATGGTTATCACAGGAGACATTGGAAAACAGTGATGAAATTTTGCTCTATTATTTCTGTTTCATGGCAAGGTTTCGTTCATTAATTCTACTCAAAAAAGATTGAAAATTTCATGAAACGATCAATAAGTTCCTAAAAAAAATTGAGGTTTGAAGAATTTATTTTAGGCGTGAACGAGGATATCGCACTCTAACTGGCTCTGATGAACGTGATGAGCAACTTCTAGCTCTTGCTGTGAAAGGGGTTGTATTACATCATTCATTTGACGATTTAGATGTGGTAAGTACAGTGTGTCAGTCTTGATCTTGATTTGGTTGTTTAAGATTTTAGACAGAATTCTTTCCCTTTCTAAATTAGTTTTTTTGATTTCAGCAGTTGTGCGAATTTTTGCGTTATTGGCTAAAAATTTCTTCGAGAACTGATCGGTGTTTGAATTATGCAGTGAAAAGTAAACTCATTCTATCAAGTGTTTTACTTCTAGAAGCTAGAAGACTTGTTGGAAGAGCTTTTGAACTGCTTAATTCTGAGCTCGAAACGTTATGGGGAAAAGATTTAGAACTTTCTTGTAAGTCATTTCTCATTCTTTGAATGCCATGAACCAAGAAGCATTTTTTTCTCTTTGATTATTTTTCAGCTAAATATGTGTACGAAACGATTCGTTTGGCTTGCATTTATCATGAAGAAGTTCAAAAAGGAAATTGGTTGTTTAAGATTTTGGACAGAATTCTTTCCCTTTCAGAAACAGAATTTCACGAAGGATCATGTAACTACTCCTTTTCCCAAATAATTTCTAGTGAAATGTGACAAAAAATTGGCTGCATTTTAAACTTTGTGTACTTTCATTCCAAAGAGTTCTGTGGCAATATATATATTACTTTAATTACATTTGAATCGCTTTTTTCACTTTGTAGAATGTAATAAATTGTGAAAGATTTTATATCTTAAGTTTGAAGGTATAATGGAAATGCTGAACAGTGTAATTGCTGCTGTAATGGCAAGTGGAAGCAGTGATGCTGAACGATTAGTTGATGCTTTATTTGCTCATCCAGCATTTCGGTATCATCGTTGTCATTTTTTTAAATTCCATCTCCTTTGAAAGTAGTGATAAAATATTGTTGTACTTGAGAAGTTTGATTTGTCATAATGAATTTGCAGGTATGCAACATATGCAAAATTTCGTTCTCTAATTACATCCATGTTCGCGTTATGTCAGTATGAAGAAGTGCTGTTAAAAGAAACTGTGCAATGCATAGAAGAAGAAACTATCCAAATGTATTCTGATTATTGTATTAGTAGGAACTTAAATTGTATTAGAATTATGAATTTAATTTTTACTGAGAGTAATTCGATTTTTCTATTGCATCCATTTTTCAGTTATTACCAATTTTCAATTTTTTTGAATTTCCCGCCTGAATTGTAATTGAGCAAATCAAAGATTTTTTCTGTCAATCAATATTATAATGAATAATTTCATAGGTTGAACGATTTAAAGTTGCAATCAACACGTCGTTATGCCAGTCTAATTTCCTCGAATATATGTGTTAGTTGTCGAAATTCAGGCAACAAGTCATCATATTTATACAAGTGTGTACTTTTTTCTATTTAACATAGAATAGCTTTTTTTAATTTGAAATTCAATTTTTCAGGTGTCGACACATGGTTCATATTGAATGTGCTTCTCATAACGATGTGCGATATTGTTTATGTCAAGAAAATGCCTTCAGCTATCAGAATGTTGAAGACAATTTGAAACGAGCCTCTAGTCGAATGCTTCGGAAGACAGAGAAAGTAGATTTATTTTCAGAAGACTCTCTGAAATTAATGCTCGGTCCAAGCAGATTAGAGTATTATAATTCATCACTTTGATTCATTGTATATTCATTCTTGTCAGCATTATGTTTTATGAGCTTAGAAAAGTTGAATCTAGTCAAATTAGTTAATTTGCAAATTTTTCATTGTTCTAAAAAATGCTTTACAATTAGTATCCAAAGTATGCAAAACTGAAAAAAATGACAATTTTTATTTCCACTTTGACATGAAATGTTACATTCTATGAGTGAGTTTATTTTAGTAACCAAATATTTGTTGCTCATCATGAAGTTTCATTATTAGTTCTGGAATTAAGAAACTCAATGCTGTAAGTCTTGAAGTTTCTTTAATGATGCCTTATTTTTTTGTGATATTACTGAGACTTTCCATTTATTATGTTGAATAATCACTGATTACAAGTCGTCATACAGATAATAAATATTTATTCTTGTTAAAGCATATAGGCGATGATATGCTAGCACTGCTTTTCTATTATAAGCGTTTGAAATTGAAAAGGAATATCTAGTGGTTTCAGTTTCTCAGTTCGCACTAATCAGAATTACTAGCGAGAAAGCATGCTTTGCGACTCATTCAGTTATTGCTTCTTAATTCTTCAAGGTTGTGTATTCAAAGAAAAGACTTGGAGTTGATGCAGACATCACGGATGTTGTAATTGTCAAGCTGCAAATAAGGATGTACTCACAGTGGGGAAAGTCGTAGAGATAAATTTATACGATGTGTAGGTATGCTATGAATGAAATCATACTTGTTATTGATAGGGTATGTATTCAACACTCGCAGCAAAGATTCTTCATTAATGCTCGATGAACCGAGATGATCAAGTATTTCCTCTGCAACATGCCTGAAGAACACATGTTGCATAGTTATTTATATTTATAGAGGGCTAGTGTCAAGGACTTCTGAAAGATGACTAGTAAAAATTTTTGACCTTCGCTGGTCTTCTTGATCTCCTCGATCATAATTTGTTTGTACTATGTACCATTGACCTCTAGTCTTATTTATCGTTAATACATCTGCAACTCCCCATCGATCCCTGTATTTTATTTTGGAATTTAAAAAGGTTGGAATTTTTGAAGAATATGATACGAACAAAATATTGGTAACTAAGTAAAACTTAATTACGAATTCTGATTATTTTGCAATTAAATCGGACAAAGTTTGGTTTGTACCTTACAATGATGGCCCCTTCACCACTTCTCATACCGGCTAGGATAAGATAGCTGGGTGCGACGAAATGGATCTCACTCAATCGATTCAATGCTTCATCATAATTTCTTGATTGTTCCAGTGTCTAAATTTTATAGTTTCTCTCTATACTTGTAAGAGAATAAGGTGTCGAATAAAAAATGATTCAATAGCAACAGATGGCAAATTTTTAAGCATGAAAACCTGATAATGTTCAAGAGAATCACATTTTTGCAGTAAATTGCAGCTAACATTATTTAGAGGCTTTGGTAAACTAAACTTGCCAAATCATACCTAAAGTTCATAGGTCACTAGTTAATGAAATTACTGATAAAATATAGTCTTACTTGTCTCAAAGCAAATCCTATGGGAGATTTGAAGGATGTGTAAATTTCCATGAGAATCGTGAACACATACCAGCCAGTTTCTGAAAACAGTCCTTCCGTTTTTATGTCTTCCAAAATAAATTTAAACATTTGCCTCTAGATCTAAGCCAATTATCGCTTTCACATAAAAGTAATTTGAAAAAGTTCAAATAGTTTATCCTGAAATGTCGAAAATCTATATTGTTTTTTCCTAGGGTCTCAACATTTGGTTCAAAAATATATGCAAAAATCATGGATGAATTTCGGAATTTTTTTGTTCATCAAATCTTAAATAAACACACAAATAAAATACTTCTAGCGTTAAGGCTAAGCGTGAATGCATTTGGCCTTTGACCTGTCGTCACGCCCGCAAAGAAAGCAAAAGTTAACGCCGAATATGCAATCTGAATACAAAGATTTATTGTTCAATTTAGTGAATTAATGAACGCTATCATAATTTAATGAATAAATTTTGTTTCTTATAAAAAAAACGATTGTAGTCACCTCATTGTTTTTTTTGAAATGTACTAAAATAGATAAATTTTTCATCAGGTCGGTCATACCATAATCCAAATTTCTGCCATGTAATATCCGACCATTGATATCCTCTGTTACAATTGACGTACATCCTAATCCATTTGATCTAAATATTGATTGATTTTTGTGATTTTTGTTTGATTTAGTTAACTCACAACGACTTATTTTGGACATGTCAAAAATTTACATTAATTTATTGTAGTTAGTGATATCGTATAGAATATTCAAGCCAATAATGTGACAAAACTGAATACCCGATTTGTTAGCAATCCCTGGAAAAAGGTAAATAGTCATACTCTAAAATTTTCATAATTACTTAAATTACTATATTTCTTATTATAATCATAATAATATTTTATAACGATAATTAATATGAAAGAATAAAATGGCTAAAAAAAGAATACAGAAATTTAACCAGTCATTTCTCGTATATATTCCTCTGGAAATGACAATGCGATTTTCTCACTTAGCCAGCATAAAAATCCATCGAATGGATATTTATAATATGTACTGTAATAATTCAATTATAAGATTTTGTTCTAAAAATATCAAAAATTTTTAATTTTTATTATTATTAATAATACAAAATAATGAAAATTGATTTTAAAAGAGTTTGCAATATACATACTGTAATATACTTATCTACGCTTATCAATAAGTCTTACTTGATCTTTTCATTAATTTGAGAAAGATATGGAATGTGATCAGCAATTACTTCATCCCATCGATCTTCTGGTTGAACATTCAGATTCACTTCATACTGTTTTGGTAGATTATTGAAAGCCGTTGCAGACAGAATACAGTAAAAAGCATAGCATAGAAATTGCAAAAGCATGTGATAGCTTTGATAGTATTTCGTATGTAAAGCAGTGATAACAATCTTAAGGAGTATAAGTAAAGCTTAATGCTAAGAACTTTTATTGTAACTTTTATTTATATGCAATAATAATGGCATTTTTTTTTTGAACAAATTTGATCAATGATCAGTAGAATACTTAAATATAATTAAATACTGAAATATCCTTCTTCAAGCAATTTTGATTTTTATCTAAAATTTCATCTCTAATAAAATTTTTTATACATTGTTTTCATACTAAAAGAAAGCATTCTTTCTTAGCATAAAATTAACAAATTAGGCAATACGTCTAATAAAACATTTTAAATGATTTGCTTAATTGATAATATTATTTGTTAAATTTATATCTATTATTTTTCGAAAAAGAATTACTAAGTTTGTTCTAATTTCCATGCGTTTAAAACAAAGATAATTGAAGTATTTGTGATGTATTTAGGAAGAAAATTAGGACCATAAGGCCCTTTGAATTTTTCATTAATTTATTCAGAAGTGATATATTTCTGCAAAAATAAACATTCTTGTTTGATTATTAACTTTGATAATATTTCTTCTACTATACTCTTTGTATGATCTAAAAAAATTATATTATTCGATACTATAAAAAAGTAAATATATTCTGAAATATTTACTTTTTTATAGTATCGAATAAATTTAAATAATAAGTAAGATTCTTTATTAGTCTAAACCAAAAAGTAATAATTTTTGTGAAAAATTACAAATCGATTGTGTTGCATAAAGTAAAAAGTATTGGTAACAACAATCATAAGCGTAAATTTATGCTAATTTATGACGAAGAAAAAAGTTTATTTTCAATTTCAAAATGTTAATCAAACAAAATAGTTTTAAAAATAAATTTTTTTAAAAATTTTTGTAAATAATTTTAACAAAAATTTAAGTAAATAATTTTTAAAATAAATAAATAAATTTTTATGCAAAATAAAAAAAAAAGTGATTTTTGGTGTGATTTGAATAAGTATTTTTATTGTTTTCTTTTTTAGATCAAATTTAAATCCTAAAAGACAATTTGCATAGTTTATTCAAAAATAATTATAATGACAGAACAAAAAAAGATTAATCCAAAAAAAGCAATAATGAGAAAAAATTATTATTTTACTTTGTATTTTGGATAAGTTAAAAGTAAAATTAAATGGCTGTTAACAATATTTAAATAATAAAATAGTACAACAAAAGAAAGTAAATCTCATCATGGCAGTACTTCGCAGTGAAATGAATAAGACTTTCGTTGACATTTCATCTTTACACACAGTGTCCTAACAAGTTTGTATGCTCCCGTACGTCACAACTGTCTGTCTTTGAATATAAATTTCTCAAACTAAAATATTTCTTAACAAATCAGAAATTATAATTGATCTATTTATATTTTATCGATTTGTCAACAAGTTAACTTATATTTTATTGATTTGTCAACAAGTAACGTTTGTATAAGTTATTATTTAATTTTTTTGATAGATATTATTCTAATATCAAAAATGTATTGCCTTGTATTTTTTTTCTCTTCTCAACTTTACAAAATTGAGAATGAAGCAGATAATTATGCACAAATATATTCAAATAATTAGCACTGATGCATAAATAATTATGCAAAATTCAGTAATTAGTCGATAATAAATGGCAGAATACTTTTATTTTTGGATATAAACAAGTAATAAATAAAAATTAACAAAAGTCTTAACTCAGTAAATATTTGCTTGATAAGTTAAACAAATGTTTATTCCAGATACTGTACTTCTTTGCAAGATTTATTATACTTGATTTTAATAATTAAAAGTTTTATTGTAAGTAATTTACTTTTGATCTAAAAGGGAAAAGGTTATATTTAAGTTATTCTTAATAAAAACTAATCTGCTTTTTAAATATTATTCTTACGAAAGCATTTTTATAATTGAATTTCAGAATGTGAATACTGTATATATCAGGGTTGATCACAAAATTGTTTGCTAGCATACAAAATTGCCAGTAAGAAATCTTTTGATTTTCCACTTCAGACTCAGTTTTTGTCAGAAATATAAAATTATTTATCAGAAATATATTTTTAAGTTAGCAATATTAACTCAAATTCAATTTTGTTAGCTTAAAAATTAAAGTATCAATAAAAATGTTAAGCTTTTGTCTTGGGATAACAAATTATTGTTGTAGATGCAAATTATTATCAGCTTTTAATCATTACAAAATGCTCTGTAAACAATGCGCTTATTCTGAGAGAGGAATTTATTCACAACTATACTGTAAAATGGCATTAAAAAGTTGAATTTTAAAGTGATAAGTTTACAATTTAGAAATTTGTAATCTTTTTTTAATAACTATTTTAACTTTTATCATTTTCATAATTATGGCTGTGATTTTTACTACAACTTTCAGTGATAATTGTAATTATGATTGTTTCGATTCAAGTATTATCATCAGTAATTGTAGTGATGCATTATAGCAACTACTGATAATATTCTCACTATTATTAAACGTTATTAGTAATTTAATTTAGTGTTTACAATCTTAAAATCATTACAACATTTGAAAAAAGGACTGAAAGTATTTGTTACTTTTTGATAAAATAAGTTTGTTCCAAGTCTTTCATATTTTTACATCCTTAATTTCTTAGAATTAGTATTTTGAAAAAAGTTTTACTTTTAATTTAATCAACTAATTAATTTTGATTATTTGATACTTGGAAGAATCAAAATTTAATAAGCTTACAAAGAAGATTTCGTGGAAAAAGGTCACGTTCAAAGAAGTATATCTATCTGTGAAAAAATTTAGTACTTCTAAATGCCAGAAATATTGCAGTATACAAAAACTTTCATTTTTGATATAGTTCAGTATAATTTAGTTTTTGTTATGATTATTCCTTTGTTATTATTAATGATAAGTTTTTCAGCATAGAGTTTTAGTTGTTTTAGAAATTCTTTTGTATGTACTGACTATTTTTAAGCTTATTTACATAGTAATGTGCAATTAATATTCATTCCTTTATTTAATATCTATACCAACTTTTGTTATCATGAAAATCATAAAACCAATTCCTCACACTTTCCCCGCGAGTAATACGTGGCCCAGGAAGATTACCATATGGACCATCGTTAAAATCACTAATATCACGTAATGATCGTTCACGTACTAATTTGTAAATGCAGAAAAATGCAGCTGGTTGAACTGAAAGAAGAAATTTATGCGCTACCAAATGTGGTTGATTAATCAAATTACGTATATCTTGTACGCCAAACACGCATGAAGCTCGTTTCCATTTACCTATAAAGAGCTGACAATTTATTTCTGGTACTTATTTTATTTCTGAAAATCAATCATGAAATCATTTTTTTAGAAACCATAATAATTTTTCAAAAATTATAATAATAATAGTTATAATTATTATTATTATCATTATTGGTAGTAGTGTGACTAATAGAATCACTGTTTTTGTTTGAATAACTGTATTAAATCAGACTTAATTACAAATGTAATCTTAATACAAGCAATACTCCTTTAAATATAAAAAAAAACCTAATAAAATTTTACTGCAATCAATTTAGTATCTTAGCTACTAGCTAAGATCAATTTTACTTAGTAATACGCAAACCATGGCATTTTCTACGCCCATGTAACCACAACTGGTAACGCGAAATATAGTAAACTTTTTGGCTGCGATCCTTGTAAAACGAATTTCTTCGTTGTTTTGCTACGTTATTAATCATAGTAAGAAATTTCATGCCATCAAAATTTCCAGGCATTGCAACATCTAAAACTTACCTGTAATGAAAATTAAGCAAACAAGTTTGTGAAGAAAAAATGATCCATCAGACGAAGAGTATTAACGAAAACAGCGCAATATAATGTTATTAATTCAATTAGTGAGCAGATGTTTTATGATAAAGAATCTGCTAAATTAATTGCAAAATAAAAAACTCTTTGGATTTCCAGCTACTGTCAGCCAAAAGCTTTCATCGGGACAATATGTAGACTTCAGAAAGCGTAAAATTGCATTTGCTTCATCGCTATTCGCAAAAAAATTTGCTGATTTTCGACTGAATGTTGCCGAAAGACTAGACTTGAATAACGTTACATTATAAGGTACTGGCCTCTTCTACAATAATGATAGTAATATTTTTTTAATATACATATTTAGAACAGTCATCAATTATTTTGCTTAATGGACTAATTTATTCACCTTCAGTTCAATAAATCAGATCAAATTAAAAATATTATGGTTATTATTATATCTATAATAATAATAATTACTATAATAATTATTACTATCTTGAAATTGAATTAGATCAGTAATTTGACCAACAAGTTCAACAACCAAATCATATCTTACCGATCCCAGTAATCGAAAAGGTTGGAATTTTAGTACTTCTGCGTTAATAGAACCATTCAATTTTTTGAAAATGCGCACCATTTCACGATTCGTTCGTAGAGGTAAATCTATGTTTGATAGATACTGTAATTTTATCAATTTTTAATTGAAAATTTTACTTTTGTAATTGGTAAACTGAATAGAGAGTGACCTGATAGTACTGCCACTCATAAGGTGATTTAGAAAGATTCTTCAGACAAGTGTGAACTCCGTGAAGAACTGAGTAAGTACACCATTTTACGACTGGAACTTTCTATAAATGTGTGAACGAGAATGAAGACAAGCACACTTACTTTACTTTGGTAAACCATATTTTTTAAAAAATTTTGATACTTGATGATATAAAAAGGTCAGATAAAAAAATCGTACTATAATTGTTATATTAGGCAAACAACTTTTTAGGTAATTAATTGAAGTCCAAAACGTTTGAGTTGCCTTGCCATCAACCGCAATACAATACACATTTTGAGGTTGGTATATGGCACTAAGCATGTAAAATACCTGAAAAGCAAATTAAATCAGAAATGAATTACTGATGTAGTCAACAGTAATTTATTTCTGATTTAATATGCTTTATTAACTTATTCGCTTACAATTTAGTTGAACATTCACGTTAAATTAAAGAATCAAGTTCAAAGCAACAAACTTAAGAATGAAAGTAACCAAAGTAACGACTCTTTCTGAAAACAGAAAAAACTTTCAATAAACAATTAAGTAAGTAAGTAAGTAAGTAGGGAAATAAATTCTAGAACGAAAATCTGTAATTAAATAAATGAAAATAAAAACGAAAGCCTAATAGCTTAATATAATGAAATATGAAAATTGATGCCACTCTTACAATACTCAATAAGTCACTTTATATTTATGTAAATAGCATTGTTACCAGTTGTTAATCTGCACTCTAGAACTGTTAACAAGAAATGCATCTTTACAGTGATGTTACCAAAACAACCTGGTCAATATTTTGGTGCACAAGAATACCATATGCTAAACTATAATGTAATTCTTCATCAGAAGATGCCTTTTCGAGAAAACCATAATGAGTCTTTAAAAAATTACACCTGCAGAAAAGTGTATTCCTTTTAATTATTTTATTTACTGTTAGCATCAATTATAATTAGTTTTGTCATGTTAATAATTTTATAATGAAGAAAAGTAAGATTCTATTTAAACTTACAAAATGATTGAAGGTCGTTGAGATTTAAATCGTCGCAGTCATTCAAACAAACAAACAAAAATTCAAATATTTAAATATTTATTTTTAACTATCAGAAGTTTACAACTTTTTGATCAATTTAAATGTGTTTTAAGTTACTGCAAAAATTTCCTGAGAGTAAGCAGCAATAGTTGAAACAATAATTTCGCATTAAACGTAACCTCTTCATTAATATCTTTGCCTTGATAAAAACAAAACTAAAATTAACCTTTCATTAGGATCTAAATGAGTAAATGATTTATCTGGCATAAGCTGATAAGTCCAGTTTTCAGCTTCCTTTATTTCAGCTAAATTTGAATATCCACTAGCTAAATCCTCGCAGTGTATATTCTGGAAACTTTTAGGAAGTAACTGTATTGCCATACGAATTTTATTTTCAGCTTCATCATTCTTCACAGTTAGTCTTAAAATTATTAAATAATAAATAAACATTTCAAATGAATATTTTTTGTTGCAAATAAAAATTAAGTTTTTGTGTTAGTTTTTTAAAGTAGTGAAAAATATTACTGCAAGCATTATGTATCTTTACATTTCTTATTTTATTATATGATTAGATTTGTTTAAAAGTTATAGTCTGTTTCAGTACAAATTTGTACAAAAACGCCAAAAACTTGTGAATAGCTTACTTATAGTAAGATTTGAAGTAATATATGAATAAAATAATAGAAAATGATGTTATAACTAAGAACAATCTGCGGTGACGATGAATTCGCATTACTGTAATGGGACATTAATGCCTTCATTACCATATTCAGAAATATGTAGTTAAAATTTTTTAAATAAAATTAATTACTTTTGATATATATATATATATCTGTTCTTTTGATATATATATATATATCAAAAGAGCAGATTTTATTTCACCAAAAATAGAAACAATAACAAATTTAAAATTTTATTTTTTACATTTTATGCTTATTTTCATGAAGTGGCTAAGAAATTAAAAGTTCAAATATTGCAATAATTGTGAGAGAACTATTTTCAAAAATCTGAGAGCCAGAATCATCGACAGTTAGATAAATATGCAAAATCATTAAGTAAAATTATTCGAGCCGAGCAGTCTGAAATTAATTTCAGAATACTATGATTCTTTACTGATCAGTAACCTCAAATTAATCTGATCCTTGAAAAACACCTCGGCACATATAGCGCTTAAGCGTTTCCTAAATTATGATTTATAGCTTGTCGCATATGATGTAAAATATAGTTTTTAGAAAAATGTAAGAAAATTTCAATACTGAATCATACTGTAAATGGAAGTATTGCTTTTACTTCAAGTTTATTTTCTACAAAAAAATTGCTAAATAAATATTGGAAAAATTGGTAAATGCAATTTGCGAGGATATAATTAACAACATGTAATTTAATAATTTTTAAGCTTGCGGTTGTTCACCATCATGCAGTGATAGAGCATAAGTTAGATTCCCTGTTCGTTGCTTTTCATAATAATACAACAAGAAATCAAATTACATAATTCTTTTGTTAGTTTTAAAAAAGAATTAAAATTTTTAAGAAAGTTATTAATTAAAATATCAAATAACTGAATCAAAAACACGTGAAACAAATATCAATTAAGCCAAATTTCTAGCATCTAAGAAGACAAGTGAGACGGATAAATTCAAAGAGCGAATATTTTATTCTAACGAAATAAAAAGATTGATCTTTCAGGATTGATAAGTGAATCAAAAGTCTTGAGAATTAAAAATGTGGCAAACAAAATAAATCTATGATCAGAATAAAAGTATGCTGCTGATCTACTAGACAAATCTATTTTGCATTCTATAGAAATTATTTGTTTGTCTTAAGCGTTATCAAATTTTACTGCAAAACTTTTTACGTAATTAAAATATTTTGCTTTGCATCAAAAAGTCAGAAATGCTTTTTCTTTTGGCTTTCAGAAATAAACGAAAGTTAGAATACTATGCATGTGATATTTTCCTATATATATAGACTGAAATCAAGCATTGAAAATTTACATTTACATTTCTGTCAGCAATTTTCGCTTCATATATTTACTTCTGTATTAGCAAATTCATTTCTTATCTAAAAAATGGTTGGCTTCTGTTGACACTGCCATCATTTATTGTTGCTATAATTGGGAATCCTTTCTTCTATTTAAAAATGGTTTGCTTATGTCCACTGTAATTGAGATTCGCCATCATCAGTATTTCCATAATTGGATATGCAAGTTAACAGTTCTCTACCTTATTTCATTTTAAATGTTTTGATAAGAATCACATTTTTGCTCAGAAAACCCATGTAGAAGAAAAAGTTTCAGAAACACTGTACAGTTTTTTTCATTCTTTGAAGAAAATTCTTACGATAATTAGCTTCTTAATAACGTTTGATTATATTTATTCAAAAACTAGCAAATATACAACTTCAGTTTTATCGAAACTCTTGCAAATAAATAATCGAAGTACAGCAGCAAATAAAAGGAATTTCCAAATTAAAGCAAAAATTTTCTTGAAAATATCATTTTACTGTTTTCAGTTCAGTTAATGCCATGCACACATGGAAGAACTGTGTAGCATATTCGAATTCCATTTGCTGTCCTCATAAAACTGTTATAAATTCATTCGTTCTACAATTGATCTGAAAATGAATATTCTCCCGTGAAGTTTGAATAATTTGTTCAACTTTAAGACACCCATTATATATTTTTGAATAATTTATGATACACTGTTATCGTTTCTCTTCACTCATTTCAAATTCGTTTGGTAGCAAATATTTTTGCAAATAAAATTTTGTAAATTTTTTAATGTGTGAGTATGTGCGTGTGTGTGTGCGTGTGTGTGCGAATAATACAGTTTTTGCATGCAAATAATAAACGTCTGCAAATTTATCAAATAAAACCATAACAGAAACAAGCTTGACATGCGTGAAAGCATTAAATTTGAGAAAATATTTATTTTTAAAAGTTTTCATTCAATTATTTAAGAATACAAACAAAATACTTTTTATAACTGTAAGAAAAATTTGAGCAAAAAATGTCTTTTTTTTGAAAAATGGCAAATCGTCGAAAATGAAATACCAAATATAAGAATAAATTTTAAGTTAAAAAATTTGGACAAAATAAGCTTAGCAATCAATGGCATTCATAAATTCAGTTATGATTTCTGTTACTGTTCATTATGATCATCTGACGTTACTGTAATTACCGAACACTCTTCTACACCACATTCACTTAGAGTACTTTGTGGATTCAGTTTTTTGCCTATAATTTAGATTATAAATTAGCTTACATTTTTAATAACTATATAGGTAATTAGTGTAGCCAATTAATTATTTAGTTAATTAGTGTGACTTTTCATCTATATAAATTTTTTTTGATGAGAAAAGGCCAGTTTTTTGTAGCGAAAAAAATGTCCAAACTTTTAAAATCTCAGATCAATTTCAATGTTGCTTATTATTTATCAAGTAATAAATTATAAGTAAAAATTGATCGAAATTCGTAAAATTTGAAAAAAAAAACCTTTAAATATGAGAACCAAATTGTCGAAATTGTTCAACTCCAAAATGCCTTCTTCACGAGTGAGAAGCTTTAATAGATGCTCCACTTTTTCTTTGGAACTTAAATCCATTGATAGGGTCACTCCTCGATTATCCTAAAATTAAATATTAAATTTTTATTTATTTACTCTTACTTTATTTAAATTCATCTACTTTTTCCAGTTTTTTAGTGATAAAATTTTATAATTAACACAACCTGTAGAAGTCTAAAGTAATATGTAATTGAGTTTCTTGCACAATTTCTTACTTATTTAAATAATAATTTGGTAATCATTTCCGAACAAATTAAACTTGACATGAACATTCATGATTACCTTGACGAAGACTAACATTTCAGAACTCTTTCACGCAATTACTCAATCTGTAAAAGTATGAATTTTATTTAAACTCAAAACTATAAAAATTATTACGGAAAAAATAAAGCAAATTATTAAATAACTAAATTCATATTGTGTCTTGCAGTTTAAAAAAAAGTTTTAGCAGATAAATTGTTGAAAAAAATATTTTCTTAATATAAATAAATTAATAGAATCTAGTTTATTCTAAAATTCCTCACGCATTTGCTATAAATTGTGTGAAAGAAAATATTTTTTTCAAAAATAAGTAATAATCAAAATATTAATAATAATCATAATAATGTAAAATAATAATCATAATAATGAGAGCACAAAATAGTTGTAAAGAATTAAAATAATATCAGTACAGTATTTTAATATCACATAAAATGCTATTTGTTCAACAAATTCCACTCTTTGATTGTTTATTAATAATTAAGACTGATATAATTGATTAGTTGATACTAAGCAATGAATAATAAACAAATTATTATCTTAACAACTATTTACATAATTATTTGTAGTCTAAATGCTATTTTGGACGAAAGTTTGTAATTAAAATTCAATTAAAAATTTTAGGTTAGAATTGAAGAATAGCACACAATGTTAGCACAGATTAGCTAACTCTAATTTATCCATTTTTGTATCCAACTGTAACTCTTTTTTCATCTATTTAAGCCTTTAAATGTCGGTGTAACTTTTTCAAATTTAAATTTTTTTTCCTTTTCATAACAAAAATAGTTTCTTCTTTCATACATTTGAATTTTATAATATTAACTAATGTTATTAATTAATAAGTAAAAAGATGTTAGCATTGCAAGATGCAAGACATAATTTGGTGATAATAAAAAATGAAGTAATATTCAAGATTAAATTATCATACTAAAGACATGAAAGTACTTGAAAGATAAGTATTTAGCAAAATATAACATAAAAATAAAGGCCAAAGGTCAAAATTGAATGAAGGTATAATAGAGTTTTAATTGCATTAGTTTGAATTTAAAAAATTGAATTTTCTAACACTAAATTAAGAGTTAAGCTTGAGAAAAAAATGATAGCAAAATAATAAAGTAAACAGTTAAAAAAGAATTACAGTATTTATTTACGTGAAAAACTATGGACGTGTGAATTAGCCTTCATTACTGAAATAACTAACTATAAATGGTTAAGTCAAAAAAAAAAGATATAACGTGATTTTTTAACGTGACGGAATCAAAAACATTACGAAGAACTTTTCCATGAACATAATGTTGTGTTAAATCAAAAAAATAAAATAAATCACGAGTAAAGTACTATTGATGTTGTGTTAATATTAGCAGAAAAAGAATCACGTGATTTGTATAAGTTGTTTACGAGAATTTCGAGAAAAGCATAATTTTGTTCAATTGTGCAACTTACGTTTATGCAATCAATAGCAAAATATAAAAGGTCAAAGGTGACTTAATTGGATAAAAGTATATTCTTTCTTATTTCATTGATTGCTTATTATTTTTCTGAAAAATCATCATCCATCAATGTATCAAAATTTGAAATTAAGCAAATTATTTGTACAATATTAAGTCGATATTTTAACTGCAAAAGCAAAAGAAATGTATTTTATTTTAAAAAATGCCAAACAGTGTATTTTATTCAAAGAAACTGATAATAACTAATACATTTCTTCACAAAAATAAATACTTTTTTTTCATAAAGACTAATTTTATATATTTTACGCTAATGCTATGTTTTGCATTGGTTTGCTCAAATAAATGCATGCATTATAGATGAAAAATGCAAAATTTTTACTTTTTAAAGTACAGCAAACATTTGAATTAATTGACTTAATGAATTATTATATTTATACTTATTTACTTAATTATTTATTTATTTATTTAATTAATTATTCATTTATTTGTTTATATTTATTCATATTGATTTATATTTTTTAATATATTAATATTTATTTAATTGATTAATTAATCATTAATTTATCAAAATAACCTTTGACTTAAGCCATTTTCATTACTAGCACTAAAAAATGACTGAACTTTTCATGCATTCCAAAATATCACTTTCAGATGTGATCAGAAATGGTGGCTGTCTGTCTCCTTTCCTTCTTAGACTTGCTTGCCTTCACCTTCACTGTTCACATTATTGATATTCGCTAACAAAATATTAAAATTTGTGTTAAATATTGAAAACATTGCACAAAGTGTTTTATCATTAATGCTTATCAGAAAGATATTTGATTCTTTGCAGAGCTTCCATCCACACAATAAAAAATGGAAAAGTCTTCTGAAAGTATTGTAGTTTGTACAAAAACACGTACAGAATGAGCTGAGAAAGCGAGCATTTGCATGGATTGCTTTGCTTTCTTTCAGCAAAAGAAATAGCACTCTAATTTCAGTAAGTAATGCATTATTAAGTTAATCTTTGCGTCTAACTAATTACTGTAAAGACTGAAAATATATTCACTCAATAGTCGTAATAAATGCGCATAAATAATTAAACAGCATTTTTATAATTAATGTATCCATTATTGATTAGATTAATGAAAAGTGCTCATTATATGAGTACTCTTTTATTCGTGTCTTTTTATTAAAAATTAGAAAAACATAAGTCATCATAATTATCATTTTATATATGTTAAAAAATTTTAAACTATTTATGCACGTATAAAAAATAATATACACATGCGTAAAAATAGACGTTGTGCGTGCAAAATGAGCAAATGCAAAAAAAATGAGTAGAGTAATGCAAATATTTGAAAGAAATCGCAATAATATACACATGCGTGAAAATAGACGTGTACGTGCAAGATGCACAGACGTTAAAAAAGTGAATAAAGTAATGCAAATATTTGAAAGGAATTGCTAATGCATATTAGTTAACTTAGTTTCCGTTATGTTAAGCCAAAAAAAAGAAGCTTTCTGCTAATACAAAGTTCTATCAATATTTTTTTCTGATAAAATGTCAACTCTATAAGTATATTTTTAATGATTTGTGTAGTGATATACATGTCTGGTGTTGTTCGAATCCTAAAAATTAATAATTTTGATGAGTTTCAAGTCTTATCTAATACTTTGCTTAGCCAATACATTTATGCTTATAAATGCATATGAATACGATTTTGATCTTTTTCACATTTAAACTCGAATTGCAAGCAAGTATTTCAGGATTAAAAAAGTTTGAAAGTAATTAAAAAGCAGTAAAAAATGAGTGCAAATACAGTCAGTCAGTCTTATAGAATTAAATGACACAAAAACATACGCAGACAATATTTTTGTAGAAATCTAAGGTTTTATAGATCAATCCAGTTTCAATGACCTTCAACCTTAGTATTAAGCATTTATTAACAAAATTGTATCAATTAACAAGTACATGTTTTCTTGTGCTAAAGTTGTTTTTCACGAAACAATGAATTGCAAGACTTGTTTTCATCTGAATCAGTTAAGCTGTTTAAAACATTCTATTAATTAGACAAGTTTGAAATCTTCCACATGTCAAGTTTGCTCAAAAATTAATCTTTTTGTTAAGTAATTAAGTTTGTACACACGTCAGCAAACAAATAAATTAGTAAGTCATTTGAAAACCAGTAATTATCGCTATGTATTTATTCTTTTCAAAATTTATTTATATTAATTTGCTTTGCACTTTCAATTTTTTTATTTCAACTAAATTCATAATTTTTTTTTGCATTCTAACCAATATATAAAAATTTGAATTGATAAAGATTTTTACACGACCATAAAAAGGATAAATAGTAAAATATTTTCTAATGAATCTGCTGAATACAACACTTACAAGAAACTGTAAATATTTTTTCAAGAATTTCAATTATAATTTAAATTCTAAATATTTTAAAGAATAATTAAATTAGAGAATAGCCTCGAGATATTGTAAATCCAAATATAGCCTCGAGATACTATAAATCCATAAATAATACGATTTGAAGACAAATCTGTTTCATATGCTCTACTTTTCAGTTTCATGCATACATATATAAATGTAGCAAATATAATTCCTCATTATTTTTATTTATTTCTAACAAATATTTGATACTTTGTTGAAAATTTTGACTGCTTTTGCCCTTACTTTACATCCGTACATTCTAATTTTCAGCAATCTTTACTACTTATTATTATGCTTGTTAGCATTTTGCTTAGTACTAAGTACTGTTCTTATTAGCATACTTATTCTTCACATGCTAAATTCTAAATTTGAATAAAAATAAAATAAATTACAATTTAATTGCAAATTACCACTATATTCATTCAACCAACAACTTACATTTTTAGAAGTGAACTGATTTTCATTTTCTTCCACATCTATTTGATCTTGTTGTGTACAGTGTCAAAGTTACTATAAATTTTTTCAACTTTTTTTGATTCAAAAAATTATAAATTTTTTCAACCTTTTTCGATTTAAAGACAACTAACAATTAATTTTAATTTGTAAAAACTTTTACTTTCTGATAAAATTGTTCTTTTTTTGAATTTAGAAACATACTGCAGGTTACACGTCACCATCATCGCTTAACAAGTATGCATTAATTTTTTAATTACTATTTAGAAATTAATTCAACCAGTTTGTGAATCATTCTATTATTCAAACAATAGAATATACTCAGTTGCCAAAAGTTTATCACTAAGAATTATAGCTTATTATTACTTATTCAAATATAAGTGTAAAAAAATTACAGCTGTGAATAAAATATTATTTTAGTAAAGTGTCAGTATTATTTTTAATTGCTCATTAGCAATATTTGAAGAAGTCATGCTAATGACTTTGATCGATTTGCAAAATATTTGCATGACTATTTTTGGTAAAATTTGCGTAATGTATTTAAAAGTAGAAAATCCAATGACTTTATTTTTCACATTGTTTTTAGTAAGATTACTAGTTTAGATAATTATATTTCACTCATATATATATATAATTATCGATGCTTTTCATTATTTTGCAAACTGATTTAGCAGCAAAATTCATTGTCCCAATTATGTGCAATACAATTTTTGCATTATTTTACGCGTTAAGCAAACGTCGTTATTCACGTAGAATTTCTTTACCACAACCAGTTTTTCATCTTACTTTACTAATAAATACTTACATATTTTATAGACAGTCAATATTACTTTGTGCTAATGAATGTCAATTTTATGTACGCATAAATTTTTTGCTTTTCAAATTATTTAAAATGATTTTTTTTGAAAAAAAATTCTTTTGGAACAAAGCATTAATTTTAATTTTGAAAAAATAAACCAATACTTTTTACCTATTATGTAAAATTCATAAAATTCTCAGTTTTCGTATTGGATTTCGATTAACTGAATTCTTCTCTAAAGTTCAAAACAAAGTATTTTTAAACAAAATAGCTAGCTTACTTAGCCTCGAAGTACTTCTAAAATACTAGATAGGATGTAGACAAGAGACCTTTGCAGGACAAGATTTAATAGCATAGCATTACCCTTTCTTTAACTCTAATTCTGAACATAAGATTTGTCTGTAAGACTAATCTAAGTGCTAACTTCGGCATCTATTTTTGGCTAAATTATGCATTTTGATAATTCCTCTAATAAGCATTTATCTTAGAACGGTCTATCTATCTGATACCATTATGACTTTTAGACTACGAATTTATGTCGGTTCCACCTTATTTCATATTAAAAAAATATAATTTATACTTAATTCTCTCGCTTATTAATTACGTCAACGTCATTTTTGAGCAATTTTGATTACGTTAGAAAGAATAAGCAGTTTAGACACTGCTGGAAAGAAGTAAAAGTTAGAGTTGTACTAACTTTGCTACTCGCTAAAATTGAAATTTGTTCTTTGTACCAAAGAATTGCTGTAAATAAATTTCCAATACATCTAACGTCCACATGACCTTTCCAGCTTTTTTTAATATGTAACACAACACGTGACCCTTGGGCCGATAAATGTACATAAAATTGAAGTTTGTAAAAGTCCATGCATTATTTCACTCCAAATACTGTCATAATAGTGAATTATATCTCTTTCTGTTTCTATTTTCATTATCATTACTATTACTTACCACTATCACTATTGTTATTACTATTAAGTAATTATTACTGTTAACACTGTCTCAAACTACTATTATTGCAATCATTATTACTGCTGCACCGCTAATCATTATTTTACCATCAATGTTTCTTGAAGAGAAATGTGAATGAAAAAATAATTTTAAATCAGAATTGTAGTATTTGCAAAAATTTTTGAAAGATTAAAAACTTGAAAAATTAACTGACAATAGTGATGATAAGTTTTAAATCAAACCTATTACTCATTAAAAATTTTAAAGATTTATAGCAAAGTAATTTCAATTTCAGCTGATGAGCTATAATTTTTTGCATCATTTCTGGTACAAAAATGAGAATAAAAAAGTAATTAAGTCACATTTATATTTACTGTCTCATGACTAGATTAAAATATCTTGATGAGATTCAAATATTGTATGTGTGATGTTGAACTATTTTTAACCAGATGGACAATAACTGCTCGGAAAGTGGACCTTACTCGAAAATTACAAATATCAAATAACCAACGTATCCTGTTTTCCTCGCAATTAATTTTTTACAGTTCTTTCGCTATATTGTTGCTTTCTATAAATTTTTAGCGCAGATTAAAAGATTTCACTCAATCATCACTTAAATTTAATTTTGATATTTGCTAGGTGACAGTTAAAATTGAAATCTTCCCTGTAACCAACGCTATATACCAAAAATGATGGTATTTGTAAAGGTATGCTTCAATAACTACTATTGCGACTCAATTAAATATCAAGTTTAGTGAGAGCATATTTTAATAAGAATATATTAATATATTAGCTATAAAGTTTAATCACTTGGTTGCAGTTTAGTAAATGACTTGGCATTAGAATGTTTATATTTTTTAAGGTAATGGAAGGAAAAACTATTTCAAAGCATAATGAAACATTATCTATTGACATTGAGCCAACTGACACCATTCGAGATTTATGGCAAGAGATCGCGGCTGAAGAAATGATAAAGACCTATGACTTAGAAAAAGCCAAGCTTCTCTTACATGGTAATTTTAATATTCGATGCAATTTTTTACACAAATACTGAGAGATTAAAAAATTATCCCCACTCCATCTTGACTCATTTACATTTTTGAGACAGAAATTAAGTTCTAAGGTATTATAATTCTTTCAACTAAAAAAGGCTGGAATTATTTCTCTCATTGAAATTTAGCTTCCATGCGCAAACTTAATGTATTGTAGGAAATGAATTGCAAGAGAATAAAACGATCGGTGAATGCAATGTGGAAGAAGGCGCTGTATTTTACTTAAAACTATGAAATATATGACTTTCTATTCAGCTGGAAAAATAATTTTCGACAAATAATAATAATGGTGCAATCATACTGACTCAGAATAAAACATATTCAAGTTAACAGATAAGAGAATATAAATTCTAAACTGGAAAGATTGTTTTTAGAGCTCATTTTCCACAAATATCTTACAAGTGATTTATATTTTTGGCCACTTCATTGATAATAAAAAATCTTAACAACAAGAAAGAATCGCTTCCTAGTCATTACTATCATTTTCTGCTTTCATACGCATGCGCTTTTTAGTCGGTTCATTTTGTGTTTTTTCAACGTTCTCATCGTCCTCCTCTTCACCTAATTCTTCCATTCTCTGTCGTAATTTCTCAGCATCTATGCGAAAGTCTCGAACACCAATTGAATTGTTTTTGACTTGTATATCTAGTCGATTATCACGCAAAGCTGAGCAGAGTAACAGCAGATTAGCCTAAATAAAGAACCATGTAATAGCTAGCCACTTTACCAATATATTATATTTATTACAATTAATACACAATACTTTTATGATGTGGTACAGGTGCAGTTGAAACTTTATAATTAAACAGCACTCAAATAAAATAATCCCGACTAGTTGAAGTATACATGTCGTAAAATTGTAGGACACACTTCAGTATAAAATCAATTCATCCCTCAGTGCGTAAAATATAAATATTTGCTTGTAAATGAGAAACATGATCAATAAAATATGCAAAAACATTATTGAAGTACCTGATAAAGCTCTCTTGATTTTACGTAAGTGACATATAGTGTTTCATCTTTATGCGATTTCAGTATTTTCCGATTATGAGTAAGCGACGGTTCCTTCAAATATATTTCTATCATATTTACACATCTTACAAATAATATTAAATCCCATTGGATAGAAATGGATGACATACATCAAGTGGATTTAGCGTTCCCACATTTTCATCAGCGTTCTCCATGATTCGAAGAATACTCCCTTGAGCAAGAGCTGCTAATTTTGTCACGGCCACCCACTCCGAAATATCGCTAATTTTGCGTTTTTTAAGCATCTTTAATATTATTAGTTTATAACAAGGTCAAAAACGCTAACTTTTATAAATTGATCACTATTTTTTTTAAAGAATGATTTTTCTAGCTCGCCAGTGTTTTTAAGCGAAGGTAAAAAGTCTTCGTTACTTTCATGATAAGTGACACTCGAGTGATACGCAAAATAAATAAATTTTTGGCTTTCATTAAACAATGAAATGTGAAAATTGAAATATAAATATTCGTTTTTGCTACCTTACGAATATACTCTCCAAAACTACGAAAAGAAGGGTTAGCAAGTCATTTCTCAGAAATTAATACTTACCAACTTAACAACAGCATTCAGTGCTTCATATTGTGCAGTAAGTAGCGCACAAATAGATTCCTTGGCGACTGCATAATCAGTATGTACTGAGAGTAACAAATACACTACATCTGCTATTCGACTGCACAAATCAATTACTTTAACAAGACCCGCATCGACTAAAATTTTTACTTTTAGGTCACTCGGATATATAGAAAAAATTGAGACCGTGGTAGACAATCATTACCAGAAAGTATGTGTACTTGTGACATCATGTCGACAGCTAAGCGCGCATCCGTTAGTGATGCTGAACAACATGCGGCAACCATCTCTGCACTTATTTCCAGTGTTATATCATTTATGCATGCCAGTTCACTCGTCTCTTTACTCTGATCAAAAAATTTAAAAATAGAGTATGAAAGAACAATAGAGAACAGTATAACTACCACATCAGCAGTAACTAAAGTCTTGAATGCAGAAATTAAGTATATACTTTATCTTCGTTGTTAAGAATACCGATTATCTGCCTAGCAGCAGACATTAAGAAATCTGTATAATGACGTCCATAGTTCCCAGCTCGTTCAATGAATATATATAAACGCCAAATTTCTTTTAGTACAGCTTTTTCACCTGATAAATAACCTAATCACATTTCAAGTTACATAAGAGATATGAATTTAAAATGTTTTAACTATAAAAAATCACGAAGTTTTACTAAGGAATAATAATTTAAAACATGTTTTTAAAAATAATTTCTGCATTCACCGGTAGAGATATAAAAGAAAAACTGTTCAGTCTTATTATTATTGAGTCAATTTATTAGACAGTTATCACTTACATATTTTGACTAATGAAATACCTCAAAAAAGCATCGAGAATTTTACTTCAATAATAATAAAACATAACAACAAAATTTTGTTCTTAAAATTAAAAATGATGCTTGTTATGAGTGGAATTAAGAAATAAGTACCTATTTCAGTTTCCTGCAGTAGATTACGAATAAGTTTAGAACTCAATAACTGCACTTTTTCGTTAGACGCTGGTGCTTGTTTGAACAATACACGGCAGGTTGTAATGAGTGCAAAAGCTTGATGATTGAAATCTGACCCCATCTTATGCTCTTCAAAGTCTTTGTGAGATTCGAATAGTTTAGGGATTATTTGTGTCACAATGAATCGAAGCATTAGTGACACCACATTTTTTTCAGATTCGTGTTGATCTTGAGCTGACTTTTGTATAGTGTGCCCTAAAATGAGCAAAAAATTGCTCAACAGAAATAAATATAATTATAAATGCACAATTCATTCCCGTAATTTTGCTAAATACAACTAGATAAGATTGCTACAAAATAAATTTTCTATCGGAAAAGAACTTTGTTTTTATCTTCAAAAAATCTTTATTATCATTCTTTTGACCTACTACTCACAAATTGTAAAATTATGCGTCCAAATAGAAGAGTCAAAAATTAAATAACCTAGTTACGAATAAGACTGTTCAGTCTTATTATTGAGTCAATTTATTAGACAGTTATCACTTACATATTTCCATCAGAGTACTACAACATCGATTGCCATATTTTGAAATTATAAAGGACACTACATTAGAGAATGCTATAATTGCTTGAGTACGTTTGTGATTCCATAAATCGAATTGAACCGATTCATCAACAAGACTGCCACCAATATATAAAATGATCATCGCGCTACAACGAGACAATAAAAACTATAATGTTTATTTTTATTTTTTACTAATTATCATAAGTTCTCTAAACTTCACATTATATTAATTTTTCGCCACAATAAAGGATTAGAAATATTTAAAAACTTACCGAGAGAAGGATGACAAAGCTGCAAATGGTGCACGAGTATTACACTTATATATATCATCAGAAATCCGCTGTGCCCAATCCATCGTCCATGTGAATGCATTTTCCCGTAGCATTTGTAAGCATTCTTGGTTTACATCAATATTATCTTCATTGATCTCTCTAAATTTAGTTTGCATGTCATCTTTAATTTTCTTTTAAATTAATTACACAATTTCATGTCTTAATCCCTTGAGAGCTTCACTCTTACCTAATAACTGTTTATGCAGCATGAAAAACCGATCACTAACAATTGCTGAAAAAGTTCCGACCTTAGAAATCGTTCAAGCATAATGTACTGGTTAAAACTGATCGGAGGACTACTTCGAAACAAAATGTTAACAGTAATCATTTATTAATTTGTCTCTCATGAAAGTGTATGCAGTTTTATTTCTGCCTATATATTTTTCTTACTGTTAGCTGAAGAGAATATGAAAGAGGTTAGCCATAGCCACTTAGATGTGTTAAGTCAAATTTATTTAAAAACGGTAACTACCGAAATTATATCCAAAGAGAAATTGGACTGACGACACTAATCCACAAAGATTTGCTTAAAAAACTCACATTAGAAGTTGTGAAACAATATTGCAAATAGTTTGTAGCTGTGGTGTTGTATTTGAATAAGTGACAGTAGCTTTTTCTGTTTTGTTTTCCTTTTTTTTAACCATTTTTTCTTTCAGTACTTCGTTAAGCTCTTCACGCCTTCGTAATATTGCCAGCAATTTTTCTGTCGCTTCTCTCCTTTAAATAATAAAACTTCATACATAGTTTTTTTTCAGTTTACTAATGAATAATGAATATTGCAAAATACCGAGAAAGAACGGAGCCCACATGCCATAAATGTTCAACTAAGGCATCGTATAGAGAAATCATCATTGATGCAAAACAAAGATTTGCACGGCCAGTAGTGTTATTCGAAAAATCCGAAAGCTTATCCAGCTACAAAAAAAATATTCATCAGCAACCAAGCAGTAAAATCTATACTAGTATAATGAAAACATCGTTAAAAAGTGTTGTGAAAAACACAGCTGAAATGTCTTTTAATCAGGATCATCTCAGCATTAACAAAGAAACTACCAGTGAAACCAACCTGTAGATCATGTATATCTCGGTCAACTACAAATTCAATAAGTTTATCTAGTTCAGACATTGCCTGACACACCTTCGCATCTTTGCCAGAAACAACTTGAGTTGAAGTGTTACGTAAACTATATATTGCTAGACGGAGTAACAAACTTACAGCCTTCAATAAAACCAGAATTATAATAGAATCAGCAAACATCACAATACCCAGTAAATAGTTATAACATCTTCTGCAAATTTTTCAGAAAAATAACCTGTACTAAGTCTGATAAGGGTTCAAGTAAAACAGTTGATGACTTCGAAGATTCAACATAGGCAGCGCAAGATACTTCTTGCAAAGTAGCAAAATGTGTTAACAGAAGATCCAAAGTTGGGTGTACTAAATTTTGATTAGCGAATACTGCTTCAACAATACCTCTGCCAAAATATAATGAAATTAACACAACGATTACTTATATTTAAATAGCCGTGGAAAAATCACATTAAAGTAATATGAAGCAAATCGATTTTGGAATAGAGTAAATTCCTGCTGACAACCGTATTTAACTAATTGACTATATATGAACATCGCATAAATATTTGGAGACTATAATGCTTTATAATATCTGCAAAATTGCATACTTGTACAACATGCTTTTGACACTTGCAGGTTGCGAGAAAGTTCGCTTCAAGATACCGATAATTTCAAGTGATAGTTCAGCATTTGTACTTTTCGTATCAACCCCCATGTTTTGTAAGGCCTGTAATAAAAATAACACACTAAATAGTAGCTCTTTTATCAGCAGGAATTTACTCGAATTCAAAAAGTCTTGCTTGAGTTGAAAAAGTGGCGAAAGACTGGCTATAATATTCAGTCTTTACTACTGCACGCACTGTTGAACATCGCAAAAGAAGGAGAAGTATGGGTAAGACAGTAGCAACCGTCGAATCACATAATACATATTTTTTCATTTTTTTGAGTACGATAGCCACCAATTCTGGCCGTAACATAATAACTGGTAACAAAGCACGAATAAGCGATATGGCTATATCCTGAAAACATATGTATGACTACTTAAGTATATAATTTCAATTCAATAAAATGATAGCTTGAAACTAAGGATATGAAAATATGAATAAAATGTGAAAAAACTGCCTCCTTCAAGTCACATATACTATCCATCCATGTTCGCAGTGACTTCCAAGCATTCAAAACATGAATTGTTTGCTTCAGTACAATTTCGACGATTGCATCTAAAACTAGTTAATAGTCGCAAAAAAAGCTACGACTAATAAACACATACTTTAAATACTGAGATACTATAATCTGCTGAATATTTTCAAAAACTAATAAACCGATCAAAATATATGCTGTGTTCTGTTTGACACAAGTAGATAACACTGTAAGGATTCTTTCGAGTAGCTGGCCAATGGATGATGAGTTCACCTCAGCTAATGAAACTAATATTGACTTTCCCATTGTTATAGCACCAACATTATCTACTATTCTGAAACATGAAACAAATTTACTATCAAAAAAAGACATTGATTCTTTAAAAAGTAGTTTGCGAAAAGATTCAGACTATCTCACGTATGGCCATAATATGACTCCTGAATTGAATATCAGATGAATCATCAAAAGGTGATTTAACGGGAGAGTCAAGAATGCTGTATATATTTTAGAATTACTTCGGGACAAAATTTCTTTTACTCTCATACAATTTCTAAGATTTCTACTTTTGTCAACATTACAAATCAATTTTAAATGAAGAAAAAGATTTTTAAATTCTCTTATACATTGACGGTAATGAAATTTCTTACCTGCCATCTGAAAATTTCACATCGGAATTGCATTTATCAAGCAATAGCATAAAGGCAATTTGTTCAAGAGCATCGCCGATGACAGAAGACCATTTACTATCATTTACTAATGAAGAAACTACGGCGTCCAAATTATTTTTTAGTGCTTCAACATCACAGTCACCCATAACATCACGGATCCAAGCACTCCCCCGTAATCGATCCGAATGCTTTTGTAGCTTCACAATATTGTATTTCAATTCTACTACACTCAGTGAATGATATCGCGCAGTGTTACAGAGTGAAAGTAAACATATCAATGCAAATCTGCTTGACGACACAAACTGTCGATTTCTCTAAAAAAACACAAAAGAAAAATTTACTTAGAATTCAAATTTATCCCAAAAAACTAGAATGCAAAGCAAAAAATTCAACGAGAAAATAAAGTTATACTAATATTAAGTTTATTCAAGAAAAAATGGACTTTCTATTGTAACCAACATATTTATGAAAAGATCACCTTCAAGCGAGCAAAGAACAATTTTGGAACAGCAATATTTGACTCGAATAATTCATGGAGATTAACTGATAACATGTATAAATCTTCGAAGGAAAAATTTGCTTTTACCAATAAATAATCGCATATCTTCATGAGTTAAAAAAATGAATATATGAATTTTTCAATCTCAAAAATTTGAATTTTCAACAGAGATTAAAAAGAAACACCAACCACTTCCGAAAAAAAAATTCACAACTAGATAAAAGAACTTTTGATTCTCACCATTTACTAAGAGGAAATACGAATTAAAAAATAAATTTTCAGCAATACCTGCTCTCCTCTCCAGCTAATCACTTCTGGAATGACAAGAATTAATTTTAGACAAACTTCAGGAGTCGATTCTGATTGCAGAAATCTTTCCACAAATGAATCAAGTATATCATGTAAGGAACATTCACTGTAAAATAATCTAAATATGCAAAAGGATGCAGTGAGCAATTGATATTTCCATAACAGCAAAAATTAAAAAAAATAGATAGTTGAAAAGCATAATCATACCTCAGTAAAATGACGAGTTCTTTGAAAGAATTGCAGCTTACAACATCATCCAAAAGCTTCGAGAGAAAAAAGGCACGATATTCCACACCATTTACATTCATTCTTTCCCAGCTAATACACTTTTCCACCCAGTGAACTAAGGAATGGAGAAAAGTGGCTGTAGCACTCAACCATCTGAAGCGTCAGTATCAATTTAAATATCTTTGCGGTATTGTATGATTCTTCCATATCATTTTTAAAGTAAAAAATCACCTCTTGTGTAACATTTCACTATTTATAAAACTCTCTTCTAGATACGCACTAAAAATTTTCATATTTTTTTCATTCATTTTGATGACCTGAAAGAATACGTCTAAATACAGAACATTTTAAACATTACTCAAAAATTAAAAAATCGTGAAAGCACACAGTCAACCTATTTTTATAAACCAAATAAGAGTTTATGATAAATTCTAACTAGCAAAAATTTTTATATTTGTTGAATAAGCATAAAATTAAAATGCTGTACGAAGAGCGTTCAGAATTTCACTTCACTTCTATGTCTCACAAGAAAAATGCTTGGATAGTTTGTATCAGATAAATTGTAAGAAAAATTCAACAAATTATTACTTGTTCTTCAATCACAGACTGTAGCGCAACAGAAGGTTCATATTTCAGATTATTGCATTTCATAATTTCCATTATAAGCAGTAGCATTGGCGATACATAATCAGGGCTAGCATTGACATGTCCTAATGCAGCATACCAACTAGAGACAAAATTCGAGAACAATTCTCCACCGTCGTTCTCACATCGTTGTTTAATGAATTTTGTGAAATTATGCTGGAAAATAATTTCAAACATTACAGCAGCATCATTGATTAAGGAAAGCTGCACTCTAACAATTTAATGATAGTTAGACTATTTAGAAGCAATAAATTGCTCATTTTGATAGATACTGATAAATAAATTACAACAAAAAGTATAATAAAAAATGAATCACCCAACGACGTTCTTCTGATAGCTGTGATAAAATTTTGATGATCTTCTGAGCATACTTTTCATTACTTTGCGAATATTCACCGATGGTATACTTTTCTACTTGAGTGCAGAACTGTATACAAAAATTCTCATGAGTTCGAGAGCACTGAGAGCTTTGTATAGGACTAGCTGAACTGGAAGAATTCATGAGGATAATATCTGAAAAAATGTAAGGAAGACCTGAAACAGTACATTGTTTTATGAATGATAAAATATTATTAAAAAATGATAAATTAATTAGGATTAAATTTGTTTTCTAAATTTATCACGATATTTTGAAACTGATTTTAATACCTTGCAAATTATGGCACACCAAAAATTTCAACCACAAAATGAGACGATTATATTCACTGCTAATTTTTCGTTATTTGACATTAATTTTTGTAATTTATTGTAAATGACAGAAATAACGAGCGATATCGTATTTCTTCAAATTTTGAATACTGTAGCAACCGTTGAGACTAATCAATTTTCCAAAAATTTGAATATTTCTGTCAGTTTTATGCTTAATGATTAGAAAAGATTTATCTAGATGACCCCTCTTAACGCTGTCTTCTTTGCCTTAAATTTGATAAAAAAAGCTTAGTCTTTTGATCACTGCCACTGTAGTAATGTAGTATATCGCCTACGGTTATTGAATGCTGTATTTCTTCAAATTTTGAATACTGTAGCAACCGTTAAGACTAATCAATTTTTCAAATTGATAACCATGCAATATTTTTAAATTTTTCTCAAATTTTATGAACAGTAATATAAAATGTTATTTAATTATAGCAATTGAATTCTAATAGGCAGTTTTAAAACTTCCCGCTACTTCAAATTCGACTTTGAAATAACTAAAAAAATAAGAAACAATGTAATATATGAGAGTTGAGTATGTTATGCTGAGACAAGAGAGCATGGGAAAACGAGAGACATTGAGCATGGATGCAAAATCGTTGCGTTTAGTTCACATACCTTAGCTAGAATGTTCTAGACTCAGGCTCTGGAGTCTATAGAGATTCGAGATGATGTGTGCCTAGAGTAGGCGTTAGGGGGCGATATTCCTGGCGTTATTTGGGATACGTCAAGAAGATTCTTGATGCGATTTATTCGGGAGTTAGAGTACTTCTTGGTGAAGTCTAAGATTCGTGGGGAAGATTCTTGATAGAATTTAAAACATATTGATATATCTTACATTTAAAAAAATGTGATAGAATTAGTTGCAAAGAAGAAAGTGCAGTGCGATGAACTTTAATGTCATGTGTGTTTCGCAATAATTTGTTGGTTATGAAATTTTTACAGAAGTGCAAAAATAATGAGTTTCAAAAGATTGGTCCCTTATTTATTAAGCTTTATTTAATGCATAAGTTATTTTTATCTTTATCTTTATTGAGCTTTTAATTGCAATCATAGGAGTATTCGAGCAGAGAATCAAGCGCCTATATTACAATACTTCATGGTCCATCATAATTATAATCTTTCGAACGATAAATCACTAGTAACTGATAATTCTGATCAGTTGACCATATCTAATGTCAACAACTGTCAGAAAATGCATAAAGTGCAGTTCTTTTCAAATTTGTTGGAAATTATTTTTCATAATATCAATCCAAAGCAGTGCTAGAACAGCTTGTGAAAATTATTCTTCGTTGTTTCTGGTGCATATTAGTTTTGAGAAAGTAAATCTCATTTGCTTAAATAAAAATACAATGGAAGCACTCCTTAGGAGGATCTTGCTGAATCGAAAATGCCAATCGCATGTGATTTTTCTGATCATATAGCATCTCGTATGAGTGAATTGCTTATATCGGGTTATACGATGCTCAATGAGTATTGTGTTTTATGCAATGTAAGTTTTACTCTTATTATATTTTGAATATTATTCCACTTTTCAACAATGATGGATATTCTCGTGGATGTTGCGGGGCATCTGAAGTCAATCATCTGTAGCACCCGAGGTTCAATTTTTGATAGTGGTAGGAAAGTTTTGTGAACTAATTATTAAGTCATGAACTTTAAAATTTAGATCGTACGTATATAAGCACAATGATGTTTGTAGTAAATATTTCTAAAACAGATCTAATATTGACTTGTTCTGTTGGGAACTTAATTATTTTCTACGTTTCTAGAATATTTTGATGGCGGATCGTCAAGGAATTCGTCTTTGTGTCAATTGCTCTCTGATGAATAATCAGCATATAAAGAATAGTCATGCGAGGGAAACTTTTTTAGAGGGTACACTTTATTCTGTTATTAGAAAATTATCATTCTGTGTGACGTACTTGAAATTGTTTATTTTATTTTTCGTTCCAGAGCATTTATACGATAAATATGGAATAGGCAGCCGTGATTGCAGACACGGAGCAAGTAGCGATGTACTCTCTGTTCCTTCTTCAGCGCAACAATCGGTAAATTTGGCAAACGTTATTAGGAAAATTTTCAGAGTTTTTCTGCCATCTTATTTTATAGTTTAGCTCTTCTCCTTCTGATTTGCAAATGTTTCATCGTAAATGGTCTGCATGAGACACCAAATTACTCTCAATATTTCATTCCGAATTGGATTCTGCTATGGAATATAGGGTAATAATTATTTTATGGGCAGGAACTTTTTTCAATTCTAGAATTCTGTAAATATGGCGTCTAGGCAGATTACTTCTCTTGGTAGCCAACAATCACTTATTGAGGGTAACGAGATGCTAGTCAGTGTACTTCACCTTCATTTCATGTTAAAATATGACGTTTAGAAATTATCAGAAACTGACTATTGTTCATTTTCAGCAAGCTATTGTTTTCTGCTCGGAGAGTATAAATTATGTTGTGCAAGCAGTAGAGGACAAACTTAAGTGGTGCTCGATAAAACTCAGAAATAGTGAAGATTTTGACGAAATGACAAAGTTGTATCAGTGCATTGAGCAAGGAATTGGAATTATAGAACGTATCAAGAAATTCTGAGCATCATTTACTTGTTACTTTTAATTGTAAGAGGTGTACTCTAATACCATAATGTATTGTTAGTGTTGTTATCTAATTGTGTCGAGATTATTTTCGTTCAATAAACTTTTTTTTTAACGATTTGGAGAGAATAGTTTTTGACTTAAGTTAGTTACGATTCTTCTTCTATTAAAATGAATACTAAGGATGCTTAATTATTATTGCTGTACAGTCTAGAAGCAAGTTTGGGAATTGTGTCAGAAGTTGTCGACACAGATTTGCCAGGAAAGGCAGTGTTGATTGCCGTTGATATGGAAATGAATTCAAAGGATGTGCATTCTAGTTGGGCATGACATTTATCATTATGGTAGCCTTCTGCTTGATATTGTTAATTTGTGAAAGTAACATTTATTTAATAAATTACACTCGGGTTCTTCTTGAAAAATATTTTGTGGTGAAAGTGCATGAGGTGAACATCCTTGTCAATTTTTACAACTTTTCCTTTATGTATTATATATATTCTTATCTGAACAAGAGCAGCGTGGCGCAGTGGAAGCGTGCTGGGCCCATAACCCAGAGGTCGGTGGATCGAAACCACTCGCTGCTATGGTCTCTATTTTGCATATGTAATATAAATATATATATGCTTATCCAAATCCATTGCAGTCTTCATAGTCAAAAGATACGATGTAACAAGGGTACAATTTATTGCTTCGTTCAGCTCTTACATGTTGACAGAGTGCATGTCATCTAGATAGTTTCACAGGTATAACTCTCAACTTCTTCAATGTTTACTGGCCTTCCTTTCATTTCCTAAATGCTTTTCCAATATTAATTTTGTGATAAGAGCAAGAATATGACGTGTTCTATGATTTCAGAAGTTCAATACGTGAGTAAAGAAGTGAGATTCAAATAATATATGTATTATGAAGGATAAAAGTAGCAAGAAAAGCGTGGAAAAGATAAGAAAAAATGGTTTGAAAATTAAATAATGTCTAAATTTGAAGTGTAACTTTAAATCTGTTTTTAAATATTACTAGACCAAGAACTAGGTGATGTTTTTAAAAATGGGTTGATAGATCGAAAAGTAAGGAAGGATTGAGAAGTTTTAGTTTTTTGTCAAGTATTTATTATCAGATAATTAAGTTTAAAAAATTTGATTTCGTACAAGAAACTCATCTAAACTAACTGAAAGGTTAATTTTTTACAGAAAAAAAAATTAGCGTGTGATTCAAAAATTTTGATTGAAAACAAACTCACTGTTGAGCGCATTTTTTCATTTACTTTTAATTCATATTCTCTTCTCGCGCGATCTTCTGATAATATAGTTAGAACAATAGTAATAGGAGTTAAAACAACCATTGCGATTAATGGATAAGTCCACCAATAATTATTCTAAATGTTTCATGCAAAAGGCGTTACTAGTAATTGAAATAAAGTTAGCTTTAGTTATTAATATTAATTAATATATTTGTGGATCATTGATTATGAGCAATCAGTGCACATACATCAGATATGTCTATGCCATAAATAAGCTTACCAGCTTAATTTGTAAATGAAATGAAAATTAACTGCGCAAAATTCCGATTCAGTCGGCTGTTTTAGGTACAAGTTTGTAGCTAAATGAAAGTAATAACTAATTACAAGATTTGACTTGATAATTAATAAAAGATTACATGAACAAATCCTATGATATCTAATTTTTTCTGAGAATCACAGTTTAAACCTTCATAACCATCAGAGCATTCACAACGAAAACCACGTACAAAACTTGTATCTTGTACACAGCTGCCCATCATACATGTTTGTAAGCCTAGAAGTATTTTAATGTATTATCAGTACTTTTGTTTTATTAGTTTATTGTAATGGTTTTACCTTGCATTACACAGGGAGATATCGGCTCTTCACAAAATGATCCACTAAAACCAAGACGACAGCGACATCTAAAATTGCTCTTTCAAATATTAATTAATTCTATTATAGAGTTATAATTTAAAAATTATTGCCTGCTTTCATTACTTTACGAAAAATCACTTTTAAAGTAATCAGTAAGGTTAATAGGGTTAATAAGGTTAATTGTGAACAGCAAATTTTCCTCACATAAAGTTAAATTCATTTTCTGGATCAACTGCGCACTGTGCTCCATTTTGGCATTTGTGCTTATCACAAGCATTAGCTTCTTTATCACAAAATGGTGGCAATAAACCATATGGACATAAGCACCTAACAGATTGTAAAACTTATTCTCGTCACAATTTTATAATTTTTATTACACCTTGAATTCAGTCGTGATTCAGTGACTGTTAAGATTGAAATGACTGATCAAAGGAAAAATTAAGCTACTTTTCAAAATGTATTTTATGATAATGAAGCATGTTAGATTCCAAATTTAAATATTGTAAGAAGATATTTACTTCTTGAGAGCTATGATAAAAGTGGTAACCTAAATCTACGTTGTTTCTCCTCATCGGAGCAAAGTTGCAAATTGTTCATATCAGATTCTTCGCAAGGATAGCAAATGCCATCATTTTTGCACATTTGACCAGCACATATACCAATATCAGTTCTAATACATTGAACAGCTTAAATACATTGCAGTAACATTAATCAGATATCCATATAACCGTACTGCTTATCAAAATTATACAAAGAATAAAAGCAGATTAGGTTCATTGGTTAAAATGAAAATAATCGTAAAAGACAACTTTTTGTGATTACTTTATTAAGCATACTGTAAACTATTTAATTATTATTAATTATTGCAACTAGACAGTTATGTACATATATGAATGGGTAGTATTCTAATTCTTCACTTCAGACGTATACTGTTCTTGATCTTTTTTTTAAAAAATTCATGAAAATAAAATGAAATTTAAGCTTTACTATTGCTCAATGAAGTGAAATCAGGGTCCTGATTCATTCCACATATGCAAGTATAACCTAAAGAATACTTTTCACGTTGTTCAATTGGTATCGCCACGCATAAACTTCCAGGAGAACAATCATTTAAGTAACACGGCTCCAAAATATCACACTTTTCACCAGTCCATCCATGAAAACAACTAAAATTTAACACACTTAAATTTATTAAATTTATCAAATTCTAAAATTGTAAAATTTGAACGCATATAAATTCCTTTATTTTTTAATTATAGTATGAATAAATATGGAATAAAAATCTTACTCACAAACATAATCTTGTATTGTTCTTCCGACACAAGTTCCATGTTCACCACACTTTTCCGCTATAAGTAATATCTTTAGTGAAGTATTCAACAATTTGCGTGAAATAAAGTTTACTTACCAGCTGTACGTGAATCATAAGCGGTAGCATCACATGGTGAAACTATATGTTTTTCACAAAGCATTCCCTCATCTAAGCCAACACATTGGCAGACTGGTAATAACATTGAAAACTTTTCATCTTCATCTGAAAATAACTTTTTCTCACATTTATAATCAGTAATTTTACTTAGTATTTTTTTGGTATTTTTTAAAATATTTAATATTTAATATTTTTTTTTAATATTTCAATATTTTCAGTTTTTGATATGTACCAAAAGTAATTAAACGTATTCCAAACAGATAAAGAAAAGTACAAAAAAGTTGAATATTAGCTGATATTTAAATAATTTACCAAATCGACCTTCGACATCACATAATCCACCGTTAAGACAAAATCTGGCTGCGTTTTCGCAAGCTTCCCCGCAATGACTTAAAAGCTAAAACATTTACTTATTTTTGTTTTATAAGTGTTTATGCACAAATATAATTACTTTAATATTCACGCAATACCTCTTTCATATACTGTAAAGTTGAATTTTGACTGTATTCGTCCAAGCAGTCATTTGTATAGTTTATGGCATTTTTTCGACATGGAAAACATTCATCATAGATCCTTTCTTCGTGTTCAACCGTTAATTTTTCACAATGTTTACCTCAATTTAATTGTTAAAGTAAAATTTGTATTAAAAAATAATTTAAAAAAAGTTCAATATTTATGTAAAAGTAGCGTACCTTCGAACTTAGCTGCTATTCCATAAACGTTACGTGGTGGACATTTACATTTAGCACGGTAGCTGATTTCTCTATTCTTATTGTCTTTGATAAGTTCATTCTCACAGATCCCGTTATTAAAACAAACGTAATCCTTGCAAGGCAGCACAATTTCACACTATAATTTAACAACTAGTGATTGTTTAGTTAATTAACTACATTATTATGCTAGTACGGTAAGCAATATTACAACATCTTTATGTCATCATACTATTGGAGTATTTATTTTTAATTTTTATAGTAAGATTTAATTCTGGTACCATAATACTTTTCTAAATTTAAAATGAGTTTATAAAAATTTTCAACGCAAACGTCAAGTGATTAAGTAGAAAATAATTTGTAAGAAAGACTATTTAAGAATTATCTATAAGAAAAACAGTGAATTCATTCATTTTAATAATTATAACAAACACTATATGATTGAAGCAGTAAATTATTTACAACAAAGTCTGAACAAAATCTAAATAAGTTTATATATATATATATATATATATATATATATATATATAT